TCAATTCAGGGACTCCGGGATCATGAACTGAACCGAAGGCAGATGCTTAACCGACTGGGCCACCCAGATGCCCCTCTTACATGTAGTTTTTCCTTCATTGTTAAAGCCACAGTTAAACTGCTTATTGCAAATGGGCATACAATCGAGGTCAAATATTCACCATTTTTGGATGACCTGGTCTCCATTTTTATTTCACCTGCATTAACAATTCCATTTTTTCCCACTCATTTGAACAGCAGCAACAAAAATACTGCTAAGTACAATCAAAGTATTCAAATTGTTGCCATAGCAAATACTACTCTACAAAGATGAAGTTGCTGTCAAGACTAAACTGGCAGATAGTATTACTTTAGAATACCTCAGATATTTACAAGTTAGTTGATAGTGTGGAAGAGATAATTTCTGAGTGTCAGTGTATAATGTATAAAGGTGCAGGTTGTAGGAAAACTGAATTTTTGATATGGATAATTGCCTATGTTCATAAACTATTAAGTTTTACCTGAATCAGTTCAATACCATTAGCATTAACTCTCTTCCACTCATAGCTGGACTGGCTGTGGTACAAAAGTCATTCAATTCTTGGGTAACGTACTTGAATATCAAAGATGCAAATTATTTTGTCCTTGATGTAAATTTATTAATTTTGGAAACATGCCACTTAATTTTTCCTGAAAAACTGTCATAAATAATGGGTTAGATAAAAGTAAAAATAAGAGGCACTTTCTTTAGTATCTTTGGAAAAAACGTCACTGATATTATAATAAAAATAAGTTCATTCATTCATTCATTGAGTTACTTGTTATTTCAACAAATATGTAGTTGAGTGCCTTCTGTGTGCTAGGTACTGTGGTGAAAACGGTTCTGATAGTGTGGGTAGTTAGGAAAGACCTTCCGAGAAGTGGCAAAGTGAGCAAATGTTAAAGGATGAATAGAAGTCGCCTACTCTAGGTTAAAAGACTGGGTATCAGAGGGATTGGTAGAGAGAGGAGCAGGTGCAAAAAACCTTGAGAAGGAAAGCAGGTATAGAATTTAAAGAAAGTGAACATGGTGTAAGATGAAGCTGGAAATGTAGGATTGAAGTGTTTTAAAGAGGTGGTGCTAGATGATGAGTTTGTATTTGCATAATGTCACTCTGAATCCAGGTGGAGAATGGATTAGAAAGCAATGTGTATTCTTAGGGATCAATTACAATGTATTCATGAAACACCTACCGTATGCCAGGAACTGTTGCTAGGTGCTGAAGATACATAGGTAAACAAGACCAACAAGGCTCTTAGGTAATTGAAAGTATCTTAAGGCTTTCAAAGGTAAAAAAGAAATATATATATATATATATGCATATATATATAAATATAAGCATTATGAATAAAGATATTGATACTTTTATAAGTATGCTGTAAAATATAAATATTAATATTTTAATAAAGACAGAATAGCTTAATGAAAATAAAACATTTGATCTTGATTTTGCCACTGACTAGTTATGTGACCTTGGCAAAGGAATATAACCTCTGTGGTGCTGGCCTTGGTAAAATTCTTCTGTAAGATAAAGAATGAGACTAACGAGCTGAGATTTTTTTCCACATCTAAATTTTTTTAATCAAATTACATAATTTGAAATAATGGTCTCATCATATTTGGAAACCTCTTGCTCCATCAAGCAAAGCTAATTCTCTTTGTTCAAGTGAAACTTTAAGTGCTAAATTTGTATAGTCTTGGAAATCTATGTTAAGTGATTTATAGCCTAATGATTCATACGAATAAAGCTATGATGAAGTATTTAAATTTACTATAAAATAGAATTACTGGTTGATAACATTTCACATTTTAAAACTTTTTTTTCACTCCATATGAAAGCACTTTATTTTTACAAAATTTTTAAAGATTTTATTTATTTATGTGAGAGAGTGAGCAAGCAAGTGAGCATGAGTGGGGCGGGGGTGGGGAGGGGGGTGGAAGGGAGAGGGAGAAGCAGACTCCCTGCTGAGCAGCCCCCCCCCCCCCCCCCCGGAGGAGCCCAACGATGCAGGGCCTGATCCCAGGACCCTGAGATCATGACTGGAACCCAAGGCAGACGGTTAACCAACTGAGCCACCCAGGTGCCCCAACATTTCACATTTTTAAAATAAAATCTAGAAATTGTAATATATTTCATTACAGCTTTAGGTAATAAAATCAAAGTCTACTACAACAGATATTGCCCATTTATTGCAACAGATTTAATAATTTTTCAGATATACTAGTTCTTATTAGGGTAAGTATGAGGTGGGGAAAGATATCCCGTAACTCAAAATTAACTTACCTAACTTCCCATTCTCTGCTGCTCTGAAGAAGCTGAAAGAAGATGGAGATGGAGGGTGAGGGCATGGGGGAAAAAGAGGAAATATGAGTAAGAGGGAATAAACTTGAAGAGGCACAAGGCTGTAGGGGTAAAGAAAGAGAGTCCAGACTGTCACCCAATTTGAAGATGGAGGTGGGAAAGCTGATCCTCTAAAGGAAGAATCTCAGTAGTTCTATCTTTCACATTTCATTTTCTCCACATCTAAAATTTTTATCCCCCATCTTTAGAAATTGTTTTATTGCTTGGGGGAAAATATGTCATACACTACTAAGTACTTAAATTCAGTTAAATTTCTTTAGTATTTTATATCTGAAACCTGTTCATTTGGTATCCTAGGAGTTGTGGATGACACATAAAAATTGTTTAATGGTTTATTCTTTCAAGTTACTCCTTATTTTAATTTATCTATCTACCCTATATGAACAGAGGTTGACATATAAATTTAATAAGTGTATTTCCAGTGAAGGGGCCTGGGGAAAGAGGCTAACATTTTATGTAAAGAATCTTAGCTAGGACCTGCCTTGGAAGGGGACAAAAGCCTGGCCAAGGGCAGCAGCAAGAGAGCCATGTCTTGAGCACAGCACAGCAGGATTTCCTTAAAGGAGAAAAGGAAGAATAGATTTGGTATAGAAGAAAAATTGTCCTCTCTCTGGTAGGGAAAGAAAGCAATGGAGGTCTTGGCTGTATCAAGCTTGGAGCTTGGTTGGAGAGGGTGGTGGTTTGTGGCAGGGGTAGGGTGGGGCAAAGGGAGGCATATGTGCCATCGCTCCTGGGGTCAGGGATGAGAAGGCAATGTAGAGAACCATCAGTCCCATCAGGCAATTTACAGGGCCCCTTAAGTTGAGATAACAGTGGTAGTAAAAGTAGTAGTAATATTAGCAGCTAACATTCTCTTGCATGTTTACCACATGCCAGAATATGTTTTATATATATAATATATTATATATATAAATATATATATTTAAAGTAGGCTCCATGCCTAATGTGGGGCTCTAACTCACAACCCTGAGATCTACGGACTGAGCCTGCCAGGCACCCACTTTAATTACATTAATTAAATCCTCACAGCAAAACTATGAAGTACTATTAGACCCTTTTATAGAAGGGCAAACCGAGGCATAGAGAGGTTAAGTAACTTGCTTGAGGTTACATGAATAGGAAATGTAAAAGGAGGTTGTTACATGGTTATGAAATGGAAGAAGATTGTATTGCCTGTTTGTTAGTAAAATTGCCATATATCCCTTGAAAGAAATCAAGTATAGCTTTTGCTAGGCTGGTATACATTTTGTGTGATGATACCTCATGGTCATTAGATTTGGGTGCAAAGCCACTTCAACAGAGCAGTGCACAGAGGAAATAGGCTGCTCTCTTCACTAGCTTAATATGCTTCATTGGTGAGAATTTTTGGAATGCTGGGCACACCCTGATTGAAGTATGCAAGCACATTCCAAAGTGAAATTTCAATGACTATTTTTCTTTTCTTTTGCCTTAACGGTTATCACAGCATTATAATGAAGGGCAGACTGCAAATATTCTTCAGTTACAAACAGGGAAACCAATAATTACCAGACTGCATCACGCATTCTTTTGGATTACATTACACTTTTCAGTGATTCTAAAGTGGCCTGACAAAAATCAGGAAAACTTGTAAATTCTCATCTGTTTGACATGGTCAGAAGTGTTCCATTCCAGAGTGCAAGTTTTCCTTCTCTTATTGGGATTTAAGATTTGGGCAACGGATTTCCCTTTCTTCTTTTACTTAAATCAGTGATTAGGTGGGAACTAAGCAAAACCTACCTGGGGGGAGAAGTATTTTTCTTAAGAGATAATGTTACAGGGTATCATATTTAGAAACTGAAGAAAATAAAATAGTTTTCACAATAGCTATAGTAATTACAGGACAATCGACACATTCTTGGCTAGACTTTACAGGAAAGAAAAGATCTCACGGTGGCCGGAGGAGGCAACAAGAAGCAATTTACTTTGGCTCCAGGAGATTCTAGAATCTCCTGACATATTTTTACATTTGTTCAAGTGTAAACTTATATATATATATAAAAAGTCCGAGAAACACTAAGATGTATTCTAATCACCGGTGAAATTCCTCAGACCAGTGCAGTGCTTACATACATTAGAATTTAAATAGGCGGCTGCTGATTTGAAGTCCACCTGGAGAGCCCCTCCCTGTCCATGGCAGCCACGCCAACAACCAAAGTCAAAACCTCTGAAGCCTACTTTAAATAACATTCCTAAAGCAGAAAGCACACAAGCAGGAAAATCTTTCAGCTCCCAGCAAGCAGTGAGAAAAATTCAACCGTGGGGGCACTGATTTAATTTAAAGGATTTAGTGACGCCTAAAAAAAAAGCTGGCGCGGGGTGGGGGTGGGGGGGCAGGAATCCATTCAAACTTGACTCAGGAAATGGGACGTTTATTGAGTAAACAAGCGGTAGCCTCAGACACACCTGCCACTCCCAGAGAAGCCCAGGAGCTACCACTGCCATCTCCCGGTCACATCCGGGCACTTCTCTACAAACTCCTGTCGTTCCTACGTGCGAGCCGTTAGGTTTATTTGAAACACACGCAGAACCAATCAATCGGCGCCCGCGGGGAGGTGGGCGGAGAGCAGTGGCCAATCACCGCCCCTCTGGAGACCGCAGCCTATGGGAAGGAGGTTGACATCACGCGCCAATCGGCATGGCTTTTAGAGAAAGAGGCTCCCTTTTTGAATTGGTTGTGGCTGACACCCGCGAGGAATGGCGGTACCAGTAAGGGGGATCAGTGCTTGAACAGGTGGACTTCCGAGGCGTTTTTTGAGAGTGGTGAGGACTTCGTGGATGTGGGTAGGGGAGGTGGGAGTGGGCCAACGTCCCCGGAGCAGCGGGCCCCTTCTCTTGTCTGGCTGCCCCGCCCCGTGACCGCGCATTCCGGAGCACCCCTGCTCAGGCTTCCTGGCTCTGGGAACTCCCCCACCGCACTACCAACAGCTGGGCAGTGAGCGCAGTGGGATCCCAAAGTCCTGCAGGGTGTTGGGCATCTTCATCTCTCACCTGGTGAGATATTTCCTCCGCAAGAATGTCTGGATGAAGGGAGGGAGTTGGGAAGCGTGGTCTCAACAAGCCGCCTTGTCCCTGCGGTTCTGGCGGCCCACAGCTGCTGCCTTCGGGGGCTTATCTCAGAGTGCTTAGTGGTTTCGCTCTAGGATTCTTTTTGGTGTCTTCTCTGTAGGAGGCTTACTTTTTAGTTTTTAAAAACGCCAGCCCATTCCGGCCTCCGCCTAACCCTCCCCCCCGACCCCCCCGCGTGCGCCTTCCTCCCCGGTACAGATTTGTTTGGCTTAGTGGTTAAAAGTGCAAGGCTCTGGAATCAGCCCGGGTTTGAACCCCTATTTTATTGGCTGAGCTGGTTACTTGACCTCTCTTTTCTAGGATTCTTTATGAGGTGGAGATAGGAATAGTACGTGCCTCTTAGGATGGTTTCAAAGATTAAGTAAATAGAAGTAAAAGACTTAGAACAATGTCTGCCACATATTAAGCGTTAAATAAATATTAACCATAATGTTTATAATGTTAACACTAATGTTATTATTGTTAGTAACACTACCATCATATCCAGCATTTCATTTAGCTCCTCTGAAAGATGATTGCCTAAAAAAATAAGTAAAAGGAAACTAAAGTGAGTATTTGTTTAAATGACAGATTTTCTCTTTGGGATGCAAAGAGGCATGTGTTATTTAGTCAAAAGCTGCTTGACTATGTTCTTGGATGAGAAATGAGCTGTATAGGTTTATGAACACCGATCCTATTGTCTTACAAGCTTACAGAATGCATGAATGTGAAAAAGTGATTAGTGTATTTCCTTTTGTAATCAGAGCGTTGGGTGTTGTCATCAACTTTCCACGCAACTCTCTTTTTTCCTAAAATTTGAAGCTATTTCAGCAATAAATTGATCATATACAGTATTAACAGAGACAATTTTAATTTTTAATTACCTATTTTGTTGGCCTTTAAACAGGCATAGGAGAAAAATGTAAATTCATGTTTTTGATTATTAAAATCTCCCTCCTTCATTCCTTAAAGTATGTTAGTTCATCTCTTGACTTTTTTTAAGGTTCTTTTAAGGGAACTTTGAATGATAGCCTTTGTAGAGGCTTTTCTTTTTCACTGGAAACCGTTAGGTGTAGGAGACTTAACAACAAAAAATAAGGGCTGGATAGAATTTGTCATTGATTGTAAATAGACACTCATATTAACAACTGTTGGGGCATTCCTTTGGAGAGCTTTAGAATAATGATTGATATGGATGTATGGTAAGACAATTAAAAATGTCCACATTATGAATATTATGAAAGTTAATAATTGTCACTCATTTTAAGATGTCATCTATTCAGTTTTCATCACAACTGGATTTGAGTTGTTTCTTATCTTTTTCTTGGTTGTAGAAACTGAGTGCAGAGTTGAGACAGGAGGCTGGGTTGCCTGGCTTTGAAGTGTGCGCCTAACAGTTATGCTTAGGTCTTTGGATATTATTAGTGTGCTCATCTTTGCACTACTTAATATCACCATCTAGAAGTGATGCTAATGATACCTTAACTATATGCTGTTTCTCCACAGCATATAGTTTATTTAAACTATTACTTTGATAAAAAGCTGGTGGAAGATATTTGTATATTTTATTAACCTAAAAAAAGTAGGAGAGGGTACAGTAGGTCAGACATGTACCAGATAAAGATAGGGCCTCCTCTTTATATTTGCCCAATATTCTGGAAATTAACTTCAAGATAATAAACTTACATAATAACCTCGATTTGAATTGATGAAAATTCATTTAACTTTTTATTTATTCCCTCTTAGCCCAACCTTTCAATTCTTAAGTCCTGGAAGTCTTAAAAAAAAAAAATCCTTTAATGTCCAGAGCCATATTGACACGAACCCATGTGTAATTGTCTTGTTATATCTTTTAAAGGAGAGATGATAGTAAAGTAATACGAAAATACAGATAAGAGAGCAATCTACTTGCATATGAGATATATAGAGACATCCACAGAGGATGAGTCAAGAGCAGTGGGTTGGGAGTTGAAAGATGTGCTGGGTGGAGAATTGAGTACTATTAAATGTAAGTAGGTGTGTGGAGTAAATAGTGATCTGTGTTTGAAAAATGCTGAGAAATACATTGTGGCTGGAGCATACAGTATATGTGGACTGCGGGAATTAAACAGGAGATGAGGTTAAAGAGTTAGGCTAGGACCAAACTGTAAACCTGATGGTGAATTTGGACTTGACCCTATAGGGAAGAGTGCTCATGGAAGTTCTTAAGCAAGGAAGTGATATGGTCACATTTGTTTTTAGGACCACAACCCAGGCAACAATGTAGAGAGTGATCTGAAGAAACTGATGATAAAGTTGTTTGGAGCTGTTGTATTTGACCAAGTGGCCACTGTGGCATTGACCATAGAGAAGTGGGGCCAGGTCTCAGCTCTTTCTTTCTAAAATTTGAAGCTGCTTTGGCAGTAAATTAATAATCAGAGCCAACTCTATGAGGTCCCAGATACTTGAGATAGGATTGATAGGAATTTGGGGGAGGCAAAATAAAGTAGAGGAAAGGGTAAGGATAGATATAGTTTTTGACAGGGATTATTTGAGGGATGATGGTAGTATTGTAAATGAAGATAGGAAAATGGGTTGGTTGAGGGCAAGGGGTAGAGGAGGAGGGAGATAGAATATTTATGACTACCTTCTTGAATTTTCATTATATGTCAGGTAATGTTCTGAGTACTTTTCATACATTGTTATTTTTACTATATTCCTATGAGTCAGGTAGTAGTATATTTTACAGAAGGGGAAACAGGCTCAGAGAGCTTAATTGACATTTCTTTGGTTCAGTATTAAGAAAAATGAGTAATACTTTTTATAAATTCTAGATATAAAAGTAGAGCCTCTAATGCATGTTTTTGCCCAATGCTCATGTATTTTTATTCAAACTTTATTTTTTTCAGCCAACGTAGAAGAGTACTAACAATGGCTGACAGTAGTGTATTAACATCTACTACTGGGAGGACAAGCTTGGCAGACTCCTCTATTTTTGATTCTAAAGTTACTGAAATTTCTAAGGAAAATGTAGTTATTCGATCTGCTTCATATGTTGAAGGTAAACCTGTTAATCAACTTTAAAACACCAAATCACTATTTTAATCCTAAACTGACTAGGAATTTAGAATTTAACTGTAATACTGTTAAGCTAGAGTACGGTTATTCAGTAAATATTTGTTGACAGAATCTTTTATTCTTTGTAGTTTTTTTAAGTTTTTATTTCAATTCCAGTTAACATACAGTGTTATATTAGTTTCAGTTGTACAATATAGTAATTCAACACTTCTGTGTATCACTCTGTGCTCATCACCTATTTAACTCCCCCCACCCCCGCAGTACCATCAGTTTCTCTATTGTTACCCCGCAGTAACCATCAGTTTGTTCTCTATTAAGAGTCTGTTTCTTGCTTTGTCTCTCTCTCTCATTTTTTTTGCTTTGCTTGTTTTGTTTCTTAAATTTCACATGAGTGAAATTATATGGTATTTGTCTTTCTCTGACCAACTTAGTTCTCTTAGTAGTATACCCTCTAACACCATCCATGTTGTTGCAAATGGCAAGATTTCATTCTTTTTGTGGCTCAGTAATATTTCATTATATATACACCACATCTTCTTTATCCATTCACTAATTGATGATGGATACTTGGCTTCCATAATTTGGCTATTATAGATAATGCTGCTATAAACATAGTGGTACGTGTATCCATTTGAATTAGTGTTCTTGTATTCTTTGGGTAAATACCAGTAGTGCAATTGCTGGATCATAAGGTAGCTCTATTTTTAACTTTTTGAGGAACCTCCATACTGTTTTCCACAGTGGCTGTACCAGTTTGCATTCCCACCAATAGTGCACGAGGGTTCCTTTTCTCCACATCCTCACCAACACCTGTTGTTTCTTGTGTTGTTGATTTTAGCCATTTATACCGTATAGATTTTTGATTATTGTTTGGATTAATGCTTCTCAGCTTGAAGGAGAAAGCATCTTATTGTTGAATATTGCTTTTTCTGTGTGTGAGGGCAATCTAGCTGCAACACTGTTAGAATTTACCCAGTTATGACTGGTTAGGTGAAAAGCCACTTATTCCCTTAGCCACTATATAAATGGGTCTGTCCCGAAGTTGCGTGCACTGTTGAAGAGGATGGCTGTGCAAGATAGTGAATGCTTTTTTTGGTTAGGAGGAGTGCTAATGTTTGTATACTTTGTGGCAATTTGTTTTTTCTTTCTCTAAAGTGATAGATGGCCAAATTTTAAAAAATAAACTGAGAATTAAGTCATTTTAATTTTAGAGAAAGTTAGGAGTCTCCTCAAAGATGGAAAAACATGCCAGATGTAGCGAAAAGAGGGATTAAGAACTGTTGATTTTGATATTAGTACCTGATAAACATATTTAAACATTTTTAATTTTAATAGAAGAAATGCCTCAAATTGAAACGAGACTGATATTGGTTCAGGAAGCTGGAAAACAAGAAGAACTTATAAAAGCTTTAAAGGTATGGAATTTTAGCTTTTTTTTTTTTAAGAAAGGCTATCTTTCTTCCATCAGTGTTTAAGTAATTTTATAGTTTTCTTAATCTTATACTTAAGTCTCTTTTCCACAGACTATTAAAATAATGGAAGTCCCTGTTATAAAGATAAGAGAAAGTTGTCCTGGAAAGTCGGATGAAAAATTAATAAAAAGTGTTGTTAATATGGTAGGTCAAGCATTTCATTGCATGTGGCATGCTGCACTACTCTTGATTGTATTCTTAAATTCCACTTAACGGTGATCGGGCCTAAATTAGGCACAAGGTATATTTTGTGCACTCTGAAGCTAGATGAACAGAATCTTTTATATTTATTTAAAAAATTTGGGTGTTTCTGAAATCCCAAACTATGGTATATATTATAAGTAATGAACTTTTTACACTGTAATTTGGCATTGTTAAATTTAAAAGGCACACATATATTCACAAAGGTCTGATGTTTTTCTTTAAACCCTAGCTTCTTTTTTTCCCATTAATTTTATGTTTATTCCAAATTCTTGCTTTATTTCCAAAATTATAAATCACAGGGGCACCTGGGTGGCACAGTCGGTTAAGTGTCCAACTCTTGGTTTTGGCTCGGGTCATGTTCTCAGGGTGGTGGGATCCAGCCCTGGGTTGGGCTCCACGATTGTTATGGAGTCTCCTTAAGACTCCCCACCCCCCTGCCTGCTTGCTTGCACACACTCTCTCTCTCTCTCAAATAAAATCTTAAAAAATATAAATCACAATAATTTGACAGTCATCAGGGAATTTGTCTCAGCATATGAAATATATCTAATTCTATATACCAGCTGTATTAGTTTGTGAGGGCTGCCATAACAAAATACCGAGACTGGGTGGCTTAAACAACAGAAATGTATTTTCTCTAGGTTCTGGAGACTAGAAGTCCCAAGATCGAGGTGTTGTCAGGTTTGGTTTCTCTTCAGGTCTCTCTCCTTGGCTTGCAGATGGCCAGCACTTTTTTGTTGTGTCTTCACATGGCCCTTCTGGGCATGCACATCCCTGATAACTCTGTGTGTCTAAATTTCCTCTTCCCGTAAGTACACCAATTAGATTGGATTAGGGTCTACCTACGTGACCTCATTTAACCTTAATGACCTCTTAAAAGGCCCTGTCTTCAAATGCAGTCTCATTTTGAGGTATGAGGGTTAGGGCTTCAATGTGAATTTCGAGGATACACAGTTCAGCTCATCACATCAGCCTAGCAAATAAAGCCCAAACAATTTACTGACCTATTCAGGATTTTCTTTTAAATGGTTCTATTCTTTTTGCATAGGAGTCATACAGGTACTTAAATATGTTCATTCTTTTTCATAGATGTACATTATAAATTGTTAAACAGGAAAGCCTTTTTATATTCTACGTTTGCCACATAATAGCTACCTACGTGTTTCATATCTTTCTCTTATTTCCCTCATATATCCTGAAATGATTAAGTTAATCTATACCCTTTTTGTAGATACTAAGTGCCATAGTATTTTTTCTATTTCTATAAATCATTCTGAAGATGATTTATGCAGGAAGAACTGTTAAGTGTGGCATCATTTTCTTGGTGAGAATAAAAAGTAATAGTGGATATCGTTGTAATGCATCTTACTATCAAAATGTGTGTTCTCAAAAAAATCATTTTAATTTTATATGTGTATTAGATTTATAATGACTAAGTCATGTCCAAAGTTATGCCTTTATAATATTAATATTCAAAATTTAATATCAGTATAGATGGAGAAATGTATATATAAAAAAACAAATAGTAAAGAAATAAGGCTGTTCACTATTAAGTATAACGCTCATTGTGTGATTTAAAAGTTTACTACAAATATAAAAAAGTGTTGATAGTGAATTGATTTTTAGGTGTTATTTAGAGTTACATAAATTAACTTTGTAATCTATAAATAATTTTTATTTCTAATAACCACCTGAAAAAAATCAAGGAAATTAAAGTGCCCTTTGTAAAGATGGAATCACTGGAAGAATTTGAAAGTTTGGATTCTCCAGAATTTGAAAATGTATTCATAGTCATGAACTTCCAGGATTCTGTTTTTAATGAGTTACACAAGACTGATTATAGAATTATTGGACCACCAGTTATCTTAAACTGTGCCCAAAAAGGAGAGGTAAGAAAATAGACATTTATTATGACTTTCAAGGTTAAATTTTTATTAATGAATTTTGTGAAAATTCATAAGCAGAAACATCCTGTTAATTGTTGGGAGTGTGTAAGATTTAGAATAGGGATAGTATTGGCTACTCCAATATAGTTTTTAAAATCTTTCTATTGTAACTTTTAAGAGTGAAAGTCTAAGACTTTCGAAAGTTAAATAATGACAATTACATATTTGTGTGTATACATACACACATATATATCTTAATACCAGCAGTATCTTGGGAGAAATAATTTTTTAAACTTGGGTTCCAGAAATGTGTATATATATATATAAACTTATTTTCTTCCACAGAATAAGTACACATTTCCATTTTTATTTGTTACTGCATGGCTAAAATTAAAGAAATTATTTTAGCTTTTTTTTTATATTGGGTTGTAAATTTAAGTTTATTTGTTTGTTTATTTTAAGTAATCTCTACACTCGGTGTGGGGCTTGTACTCCCAACCCGTAGGTCAGAGGTTGCATGCTCTTCCAACTGAGCCAGCCAGGAGCCCCTGCTTTTTGTTTTTAAATAACATTTCAGTGTTAGAGTTGTAGTAGAGTTAGTCTGTATTCTTGGGTTTTGTTGCTATGTTTTGCCATTCTTATTAAACTTGCCTTATTAACTTAAAATTGTATAGGTCAATTTTGTGCTTCTTTTGTTATAGATACTTAGTAAGGTGCATGATAATCTTTAATTCTCTGTTTTGATTCAGAAGTGTTGCTTTCAAAAAACCAAGTAAACCTTTTAAAGACCAAAATTGTTAAATAATCTTGCATAATGTTGGGAACTATGTATCTATACTTATTTTTTTAACCATTCTTTTCCTATTATTTATATATATACATACATACACATATATATATACATACATACATATATATATCTATTTCTGTTGGTTAAATTATTTACTATTTCCATTTTTTTTAGCTCAAAAATTGGAATCATATTTGGTTCAAGTATATGTGTAATTTACATAGTGTTCATTATAAAATATTTTGAACTGTTTTAAATTGGAATTTTAATTGGAAACATTTACAATAGTGTATGGAGTCTGAAATTTTTCCTAGCACATAAAACTTTGAGTCAAAGTATATTTTAGAACTGAAAGTTTGCATATAAATATGTTTAATTTGCCAGTAGTAAAGTGTGTTTAGATTGTGTGTGTCAAATATAAATTGGGAGTTATGGGGGATTTTTGTATTATAAAACTTGTAATCTTTTTTTGCTATTTTTTTGTTGCATATGGAAAAATGCAAGACATCTTTGGATTGACAAAGTTGATTGGCAAGAGGGGGAAATATGCTTTAGCTTGAGAAAGATGTGTTCTGTTCTCTACTATAAAGAAAACTCACAGATTTAAAATTATTGTGTCCTTTATTTAGCCTTTGCCTTTTTCATGTCGTCCACTCTATTGTACAAGCATGATGAATCTAGTACTATGCTTTACTGGATTTAGGAAAAAAGAAGAACTAGTAAGTATTTTAAAACATTCTATTCAAGGAATATTTTTTCCAGCCAAATAAATTTAAATTGACATTTTTTGGGGGGTTAATTATATCATGGTTTTATTTCAAACATATTGAAGGAGAATTTATGAATATACTATTTTAAATTTTATGAAGAAACATTATGAAGAGCCTTGTAAAGAAACATTTTGTTTAGGCTGGCAGGCATATGAATTAAGAGAAAGACTTCATTACTATCTGATCTGTTTAAATTGTCTTTTTGTTAAGTATCATCAGCTACGTTATTTCAAGTTTTTGTTAATACATTGCAATTTTTTGTTATACAAGTCCAGGCTTAAAGTATATTCATTGCCCTAGAGAATTCATAGAAACTTTTCTGATTCATAAAATTTTCTGTGTTGGAGCTAATAGGGTAATACTGTAACTTTGTGGGCAGAATCTTGGTGTGATATAACCTGGTGTTGAAAAGAAGTCTTCTGTTTAGGATGCATGAAAGCCAGTTGTTTAATTAAGTTTTGTGTAATTATCTTTACTAGCTTATCTCTATGTATAATTTTGCCTGTGCTTGTTAGGCAATGAATCTTTAATTTTTTTTGACATAAAATTCCTATCTTTATAAAAATTCTTATATGTACCTTATAAATAAAAATTATTCAGTAGATTCTAAATGACTTCTAAACATAATTTAAAATTTTGTTCAAATTAATCATAAAGTTAATGTTCCCTAATTTTTCTTTTGAGGTCAGATTGGTGACATTGGTTCATCACATGGGTGGAGTTATTCGAAAAGACTTTAATTCAAAAGTTACACATTTGGTGGCAAATTGTACACAAGGAGAAAAATTCAGGGTATGTAAACGTGGGTGTATTTCAGTATAGCATTTTGGGGGGGTGGATTTAATAACAGTACTTTCATCCTATCTATTTCTCCCACAGTTTATTGAGGATCAGAAATTCCATTTTTGCTATATGTACATTTAGTAAAAATTTTAAATTATAGGAGTGTGGTCCTTTAGGTTTTAAGGAGGCAATGGAACCTGAGTTAGGTCTTGAAATAAGTAGGATTTGTGAATGAGTAGGATTGTGGAGTTTGGTAGATGGGTGACATTTCAGGCAGATGATTAATATTAGCAAAGGTTACTATAAGTGTTGGTGAATAAGGGGGTTAGGAAGTGTTGAGCAGATATTTCATTCTTGTCTAAATGGTATTAATAAGAACAAAGTTATGTTCTTATAAAATGGTTATAAGATTTAACTAGCGAAAACTATAAAAGAACAGGAGAAACTACTTTTACTAGAATTAAAATCTTAGTTTAAGACTGCACTTGAATATCTACAAAGAATTTATCACCTTGTTCCCACCCTCCATCAGGGTATTTATGTAACAAATGGTAATTTTGGGGTAATGTTGAATTCCTGGGAGGTATTCTTTCCAATTCATATCTTAGTTTTTCATGACTTAATCAGATATTTTCTTCTCTAGTCCTATCTTGGGAGTCAGTACTTCCAAGGAAGTAAAGATGGAGAAAGGAGAAATAGAAATATAATAAAATAAAGATGAACTTAGCTTCAGAGTTATGTTTATTTAAAATAAGGAAATGAGGGGCACCTGGGTGGCTCAGTCGTTAAGCGTCTGCCTTCGGCTCAGGTCATGATCCCAGAGTCCTGGGATCGAGCCTTGCATCGGGTTCCCTGCTCGGTGGGAAGCCTGCTTCTCCCTCTCCCACTCCCCCTGCTTGTGGTCCCTCTCTCGCTATGTTTCTGTCTGTCAAATAAATAAGTTAAATCTTTAAAAAATAAATAAATAAAATAAGGAAATGGTTTGGACATCATGGAACTTGTTCTAAATTATTTTAACCTAACTTGTATGATTGAAAGACAGTTTTTCTGTTAATTTTTCTTTATACTTTGTCAGAAAGCAGATGAATAATGATCTAAAACTGCAAAAAACAGTATGTATAAAATTGCTTAGAAATTCCATGAATGCAGTTATTTGAGGTGAAAATTTATTATAATTGATGTTTATATTTTTAGATTGCTGTGAGCCTGGGCACTCCAATTATGAAGTCAGAATGGATTTATAAAGCTTGGGAAAGGCGGAATGAACAGTAAGTGTTTAGAAATTCAGTAGTTCAAGGTGGCTCTGGCGTTACGGATAGCACATTGGACTTCTAGAAATTTAGTAGCTCATTATTTGAATTAAGTATGTTATGAATATAAACCCATGTGCCCAAAACCCTAAATTCATAGATAGTGTAGATAAAATGAATTTAGTCTTTGGATAGCCTAAGGAATAAAGTCTAGGAGGAGCAAAGTTATAAAAAATAAAAATAAAAAATTGAAAATTGAAAAGTATCTGTGATATCTTCAGACTTTACCTTGTGAAATAATTTTGATTATTGTTAACATTCTAAAACTATTACATAAAAACTTAATGCATCTGGATATTTAGATTGTTACACTTTTTTCACGGTGTTTGTCTAGTTACATTCTAAGTGGTGATTGCAATTCACAACCCGTTAAGCTTTCCAACCTCATAATTCCTTGCTCTTCTACTTCATCATTATTTAACATTTCATGAAACTACAGAACCCCTGGAATACATAGAAAATTTCATGTCCAGAGCAAGGATCTGAATCTTGTAAAGACTACTTGTGATCAAATTTTGTTAGAAGTTATTTCCGGGATGACTGAGGACACACCAATTCTTTTTTTTTTTTTTTTAACTGGATGTTTTTGTGAACATTTCAGGACTACATGTAAAATATTTTCAATAAATGGATTATGCTGAAAACCTTGAGAATTATTATAGATTTATAAATTGATATACTTACTGAACTTTAGCTGGTTTTAGAAGAGTATATTTTGTTTTTAGGGATTTCTGTGCATCAGTTGATGACTTCAGAAATGAATTTAAAGTTCCTCCATTTCAAGATTGCATTTTAAGTTTCTTGGGATTTTCGGATGAAGAAAAAACCAATATGGAAGAAATGACTAAAATGCAAGGTAGAATTTACTATAATTTAAAAGTTATATTTTTTCTCCCACTCTTGCTTTATCATCTCCTGGCAAATATGCCTCTTTAAAAATTCAGGTTTGGAGATAAATAGTTCGGCTTATTTATGCTTGCATGCATTTCTCTTTAGGAGGTAACTATTTACCCATTGGAGATGAAAGATGCACTCACCTTGTAGTTGAAGAGAATGTAGTAAAAGAACTTCCATTTGAACCTTCGAAGAAACTTTATGTTGTCAAGCAGGAGGCAAGTAATTCTAGAATAAGATTGGCTTTTTTTTAGATAGAATTTTATTTTTATTTTATTTTATTTTTTTATTTTAAGTAGGCTCCACACCCAATGCAGGGCTTGAACTAATGACCCCAGAATTAAGAGTTGCATGCTGTACCAACTGAGTCAGCTAGAAGCCCCAAGATTGGTTTTTTAAAAATATTACTAATTGCTTCTCTGATAAGATAAATTCTTAATTAATTTTTTCTTTCCTTTTACCTAGTGGTTCTGGGGAAGCATTCAAATGGATGCCCGAGCTGGAGAAACTATGTATTTATATGAAAAGGTATGCTTTTTTGTCCATTAGTCATTTGTTCTGTGCATTTGATTGTATAAAGATAACACTTCTGTTCGAAAACAGCGTGGGATAATTGGCATACCAGTCATCTTTAAGTCATGTTTAAGAGTTTGAGAATAATTGAACAGTTAGTTATTAAGTAATAGTTTGTGTAGATTTAAGTAAAACTATTCAGTGCAGAATTATTTTAATCTAATGTATGTCATTCTGTGCCACTTCGTAGTGATATTATTATGAACAGTAACATTCCTATCTTCAGAAACTTAGAACCTTAAGGGAAAGCTAGATATACAAACAACTATAGTGCAGAATATGTGCTATAGTTGAGTAATTATTTTAACTAGCCTCATTCTGAGAGACTCAGGCAGGACTGAAAAGAGTAAATAAATGTTGAGCCAACTTACGAGGCTAACCTTGTAAGGACATTCAAGTTAGACAACAGGTGAGAGATGGTGTGAAGCTTGAAAGTACATTGAAATAGCAAGTAGTTTAGTATGGCTTTAGAAAAGAGTGTGGGAAAGAAGGCCAACAAATAAAGCTTACGATTTAGGTAGAATCAAGTGGTTTTTAAAATGTTAAAGAATTTGGTAAGTATTGGGAGTCATTGAAGAATATTAAGGGGGGAGATGTCATTAGAAAAATGACTCTAGTAGTAGCTTGTAGGCAAGGAAAACGCAGCCTTCATGCTAGATTGGTGAAGAGTGGTATCATTCACCAAAACGTGGCATAAAGGTATAGAACCAGGCTTTAAGGGAGGATTTTCTTTAGTTGGAGATTTAATTTGAATGGAATATTGAAGATGAGGTGCAGGTTTATTGTATTACTATAAAACCTAGATAGGTACTATATTGTCTTCTGACGCTTTTGTTCTTAATATAAGATTCTTAACCATAAAGTTTAAAAACTACTTAAAATTTCAGGAGAGAGCTTTTAAAGCCAAGTGTTATTCAGCAAATATTGTAGAGCAATATGTCCGGGCACTGTGCTAAATGCTAAGGATACAGTGAACAAACTATGAATGGTCCCTGCCCTCCAGAGTTTATGGCCTAACGGGACTAGACAGTAAACAAGCTTACAAATGAATATGTAATGGTGATAGAGCTGTGAAGAAACAGAATGAGGTGCTTGGGGTTAGGCAATTACAGTGGTCCCTTTACTATTGTGTTTTATGAATCTTCTGAATTACCTGGCAGAGTGTGTAGTTGTAAAATTGTGCAAAATCCAGATTTTGTCAGACTTGTAAATATATTTTTCTTCTGTTCCTGTCTCAGTATAGAACCAAGGAAGTAAAATTGAGCTTTTGTGCTTTTGATTGCAGGCTAATACTCCTGAGCTCAAGAAATCAGTGTCACTGCTTTCTCTAAATACCCCAAACAGCAATCGCAAAAGACGTCGTTTAAAAGAGACACTTGCTCAGCTTTCAAGAGAGACAGACATGTCACCTTTTCCTCCCCGTAAGCGCCCATCAGCTGAACATTCCCTTTCTATAGGGTCACTCCTAGATATCTCCAACACACCAGAGTCTAGCATTAACTATGGAGGTAATTCACATTTTAAAAAATTGATCGTTAAAAGTTAGTGGAATGGAATAATTATTAGAATTTAGATAAATCACTACCACAGCGAATATGAAAGGTTCTGACTTTTATCACCTTTGTTCTAGCTGAGGAGAAGAGGCACATAAAAATGCTTCCATTTAATAATTGCTTACTATATGCTAAGTGTTTTCTGTATATTATTTGTATATCGCTCTAGAAAATGGAAGAGCTGTTCAAAGAGCAGATTCTTAACATTAGCAAAACAAGATCACAGAAGGTGTCACATGAGTTATGGAGAAAATAGGTACGATGAAATCAGTGGAGGGTGAGCTCAGTTTGTTCTCCAATGATACAGGGAGGCTCTATAATTAACTCTACTCTCTTGATCATCAATTTTTCCCTCTATTTTTGTTTTTTAATCTGCACACAAATATGTTGTGTTTTTTAGAGTTAAGAAATAATCAAAACCTCTTGACCCCATGACACTCTACTTACTATTTCATTTCTCTCTTTCCTTTTACATGAGTACTCTTCAAAGAATTACCTTGATCTGTTGTGTCATTTCCTTGCTTTTCATTGTCTTCTCCAACCATTCCAATTGAACTTAAGCCCCTACTGCATGAAATTGCTCTTGCTGAGGAGACTGACAGTTTTGTTTTGTTTGTTTTTTTTTTTTAAAGATTTTATTTATTTATTTGAGAGAGAGAGAGGCGTGCTGGGGGAGGGGGCAGAGGGACAAGCAGAATCCCCACTGAGCCTGGAGCCTGATGTGGGGCTCATTCTCAGGACCCTGAGATCATGACCTTAGCTGAAGTCAGACGTTTAACCAACTGAGCCACCCAGCTGCCCGGTGACTGACAGTTTTTATGCAGTCAGCAGCATCTAACACATGAATAGCTATTTCTTCCTGGAGATAATTTTTTTCTCTTAGCTTTTGTACCTCATTTCTCATTCTCCTTTGCCTAACTTCTCCAATTCTAACTGTCGAATATTATTCCTGAGTCATTTCTTCTCTACTGTATTCTCCCACAGTAGTCTCATTTAATTCCATGGCTTTAGAAACATTCATATGCTGTTAACTCCCCAGTGTGTCTTCTTCCCTGTCTAACTACATACTTAATACCTACTTGTCCATGTCTAATACATATCTTAAACCTAATATAATCAAATTAGAACTCTTGATTTTGATTCTCTCTACCACTCTCAACTCTACTCCTTTATCAGCCTTTTCTATAAAATGGATCTCTCTTAGATGATTATGTTGGTCTCCTAAATGGTTTCTCTATATTCATTTTTGCCTTTTTTGTTAAGTTTGTTTATTTATTTTTATTTATTTTTTTTAAGATTTTATTTATTTATTTATTTTTTATTGTTTTTTTTAAAGATTTTATTTATTTATTTGACAGAGAGAGACACAGCGAGAGAGGGAACACAAGCAGGGGGAGTAGAAGAGGGAGAAGCAGGCTTCCTGCAGAGCAGGGAGCCCGATGCGGGGCTCGATCCCAGGACCCTGGGATCATGACCTGAGCCGAAGGCAGATGCTTAACGACTGAGCCACCCAGGCGCCCCAAGATTTTATTTATTTATTTGACAGAGAGATAGAGAGCACAACTGGCAGAGCGGCGGGCACAGTGAGAAGGAGAAGCAGGCTCCCCGCTGAGCAGAGAGCCTGATGTGGGGCTCGATCCCAGGACACTGGGATCATGATCTGAGCTGAAGGCAGACACTTAACCTACTGAGCCACCCAGGTGTCCCAGTTTGTTTATTTATTTAAGAAATCTCTATACCCAATGTGGGGATTTAGCTCACAACCCTGAGATTAAGAGTCACATGCTCCTCCAACTGAGTCAGCCAGGTGCCCCCATTTTTGCCTTTCTGTATGAGCACTTCGGTCTCTAAAATACATATAAATTAAATCATGCCAGTCCTGTGCTTGAAGTCATTCAGTGGATTTGTATTACCATAGCTTTCAAGTTCCTATGTGATCCTTTCTCACCTACGTCCAACCTCATATGACGATATCATGCTCTCCTGTAATACTCTAAGCTTTAGTCACACTATCTCTGTTATTCTTTGGATATTTCCGCTACATTCATACCTCTGGAACTTTATACTTGACCTCTTTGCCTTAAAGAAATCTTACTGGGCTTTCTGCAAAGTTAAGTCCCTGTTCCAGCACTTCTCACTAAACCATTACCTGGTTGTGTCTTCAGTAGTAGTTATCATTGTTAGAAATTATATTTTTTTATTTGTTTCACCAGAATGTAAGCTTTAAGAAAACAAGAACCTTATCTAATCCTTTGCTTTGTTCTCAGTGCCTAGTACAGAGTAGGTACTTACTAAATATTCTTGTGTCAAATTATAGAAGGCCCAGAAAACTGAGGTGGAGTTGAGAAATGAGGGGAGCAAGAATATAAATACCATACAAATTCACATTTTAAGGGATAGTGAATAGGTCAGTTTGCTTATGAGAATGGGGGGGTAATAATTAAATTCGAAAGGTTAATTGGGGCCTAATATTCAAGGACTTTGAAATCAGACTGGTATGTCTGAACTGCATATTGTCATCAACAAGGAACTTTAGAAACTATTGAGCAGTAGAGTAATTGGTTGAGTAGGTAATTTGTAGTGGATTATTCTGAAGAATGATTAAAAGAAGACAGTTCAGAGATGGCCAGACCATGAAGTAATCTACAGTGGCTTGGGCCACAAGATGATAAAGCCCTGAACCAGGGTTGCTAATGGTTGGAAAGGAAAGTAGGAAGCACTGTGGAGATACTGATGGAATGGAGTGACAGGAAGGGAATAAGAGATGACAGCAGAGTATTAAAATAGAAGAAATGTTACCTTGGCGAAAATAGGAAGTCCATATTTTGGAGGAAGATAGTGTAGTTTTAGAGACTATTCAGGTTAAATTGAGGTACACATGCCCAGTGGGTATTTGGAAAAACTGAACTTGGTGCTTGGGTGGAAAGATTATGATTAGATCCATAGGTGAGAATTTATTGGTTCCATAATTGTGATGGACATACTGGGCATAAAATGGTAAGAACTGATCATAAAGGACTGAAGCTTGAATATGCAGTTTAGGGGATAGGAGAAGAAAATAGACATAACAACTATTCTATTAGGTACTCTATATAGAATCCTCAGTTTGTAGATCACTTTGTAAACACAGTAATTAAATTGAGTCAATATATGTCAGATTTTTCCTCTTGACATATGCAATGGCAGAAGCTCTTGGGTCTGGAGAGTAGTCTGAAATAATGTACAAGTGGGAAAATCTTTGGTCTGTTAGCTTTAGAAAGCATTCAAACTCCATTGTATACATCATTATTTTAATATTTAAAGTTATCATTGAGTAAAATTGATATGCTGGGTCTATATATTGTTTTTTCATGTCATTATATATTGTACATTTGTTTTCCTATTTAAAAACTTGCCATTAGGAGATTCTGTACATTATGTTAAAGTACTTTAACCATATCTATAGGAAGAAAGTGTATCTTAAGCTTTTATGAAAGCTTATGATTTCATTTTTTTGAAATACATATAAAGGATACTAATGTGTCCTCCCACTTTGTGTTGGACTGGATGTTTTATATTATGTTAAAAACTAACAGAATTTGCAGTTGTATGTTTTGTTGAGGAAGGCTTCCTCTATATATTAATGATAAGTTTTCTGTTACTATGTAATCATAACCTTTTTATCCTTAAACTTAAATATTTTTATATAGTTTTTCATTTTATTATTTGAGCTTTTTATTTTGAAATAATTTCAGATTGCAAAAAGCTGCAAAATAGTACAGAGATTCCAGTACTCTTCTCAGAATTCCCAAATGGAAATACTCTGCCATGTTTGCTTTAGCATTCATTCATTCTGTCTCTTTGTCTATATGCACACGTATTCTGCACTGTTGGAGACTAAGTTGCAGATAAGATGTGCCTTTTCTTCTAAATACTTAAATGTGTATTTCCCAAAATAGAGGGACATTTCTTGTACCACTACAGTAGAGGTATTGTAATTAGGAAATTGACATTAATAGTATGACCGACTCTTAATTTTAATCAGTTGTTCTGCTAATACCCTTTTTAGGAAAAGAAAAAAGTTTTTTTTTTTTCTGGTCTAAGGTCCAATCCAGGATCATATGTTGTTATCTCTCTTTAGTGTCTTCTAATCTGGAATAGTTTCTCAACTTTGTTTTTAGTGACCTTGACATTTTTGAAGAGTACACGCCAGTTATTTAGTATAATATCTGTCAGTTTGGAGCCATTGATACTTTTGACCATTATTTTTTTCTGGCCTTATCCTATGAGGAAATTTTACTTTAATGAAAATCTAAATGGGTATATTTCTCAGAGTGGATATCCTTCCCCTTTTTTTGTTGTTAAATCTGTACAATGTCTGGTTTTTCATTAAATCTTTCTTCCTTTTTACCTTTTAGAAACACCAAAGTCTTGTACTAAGTCTTCTAAAAATTCTACTCCGGTTCCTTCGAAGCAGTCAGCCAGGTGGCAAGTTGCAAAAGAACTTTATCAAACTGAAAGTAATTATGTAAATATATTGGCCACAATTATTCAGGTAAAAGTTTGTTGCAAAATGATCCCTGTTCCAGTGTTCCTAGCTAAAAATTCTAAGAGATACTGTTTCTTATAAGAAAATTATATAAGCATAGAATTTGAACATACATATTAAAAATGAAAATATATGACAAAAAACTGCTATTAGGGAAATGCCATACTGTAATAGTAGCTTTTATTCTTACAGAAATAGCACCTTCTTTATAGTGACTAAAAAAGAGAAGGATCCTTAGTAGATGATTTTAGAGGGGACCAAGTTTTATTTGATACGGAACTTTGCAGGTTCTCTGTCACGATACTGCATTTATATTTATATGTGGATATGGTAGGTAACTTTTTCTGAAAGTGTGCATTCTAGGAGTCATTGCTTTATTTAGTACTGTATATATGTGAAAAGCCACAGCAATGAAGCATAACAATATGGATGTAATTTTTTTGGTAATCCTCTCATGTGTCAAGTTTCTTAAAGTATGCAGTGGTTAGTCATAAATGTTAACTCATTGCTTATCGTTAAAATGTACTGTGAAGTTATTGCTGGAGAAAAAGAATTCTAATTGATCCTTATAGGATGAGATTGAAGAAGATACTAAGAATAAACTGAAATTTGAAGTTCTGAAAGACAGTATTTAGGACACTATTTTGGCATCTGCAGAAAGAGGGAATAGATTTGTTTTAGGTAATGAAGGAGATTGTCAGGAAAAAAAAGTTGATACCATCACGCTTGTCTTTGAATAGAAAAATAATAAGGAGTTTCTGATTGGGGTTAATTTTTAACTGACCTCTATTTGAATTCTTAATATAACTCATTAGTGTTCAATATAATAGCCTTTAGTTGCTTGTGCCATTGATAAAATGCATGGATAAGAAATGGAAAGACTTCTTTCCTGGTATTCATGGAGAGTTTATTCTTCACGGTTAATTTGTTTAGCAGTAGTCAAGGGTTTATGAGGCCCTCTGCTGTATTAAACTTTACTTGTTTTAACTCAGCTTTGCTCTTCCTCAAGGGAAATCATTCTAGATGAGTTTCTTGTTGAAGTTTTTATAGTCAGCCAAAATGTAGTCGAGTAGCAGAAAATCCCCTTGGCATATACTGTTCATGTACTTTGGTAGCATTTATTACCCAGAAATGTAAATCCTTTCAGGCCATGGTAAATGCACTGGAGTTTCAGAATTTTAATTTGCATATCAATTAATCTCACTAAAATGCCTTTTAAAAAAAGCCCTTAGAATTATTAGACTGTAGATAGTCTCATACCACTATGCTTATTTTAAATTCACCTGAGATTTTATTTAAAAGATTGTGGTCAAAATTCATAATGATGTTCCCTTCAGCTTTATTTTAGGACTGATGTTTTCCTTTCCTTTTTTTGAAATTGGATTTGGAGAAACTTAATTTAGCCCCCAAATTAAATGAATATCCAGAAGCTTCTTTATTTCATGTAATATGTGAGTGCCTGTTAATATAAATTATTGTGCCAAGTGTTAAAGAGGATTCCTGTTTTAGAGGAGCTTAGACTGGAAGAGGAGATAAAACATGCATACCTAATTATAATACCAAATGGAAGGTTATGAGCATCATGAGGGAGGTTTAGATAAGGTATTTGGAGATTTGTGAGGTGAGAGTTTTACTCTTCCAGCTTAGGGAAGGTGTTGGGCTGGAAGTTTCAATGGATTGAACATTGGAAAGAGTATCATAAAGAATACATAAATTGAAGTTAATTTTATTTATTTTTAAAGATTTATTTATATATTTTAGAAAGAGTGTGCATGGTGCACATGCAAAGGGAGGGGCAGAGGGAGAGGGAGAAAATCTCAATCAGACCCTGTGCTGAGCCCAATAGGGCTCCATCCCACGACCCTGAGACCATGAGGTGAGCTGAAACCAAGAGTTGGATGCTTAACCAGTTGAGCTACCCAGGCACCCCTGAAGTGAATTTTAAAGTATGAGTATGATTAGTACATGCAAAGAATATGGGTAGGAAGTGTACTTGAGATTGTGCAAACAGTACAGACAATTAAAGATGTATATCGTTCAAGGTATTATGACTAGTCTAGGGGCGTTAGAGTTTAGGGTGATTAAGGGGACTTAGAGTAGGGGGTGGGGTTTGGATATAGGGAGATTTGAGGTAAGGCTGTCTATGCCAGACCAGAGAAGGCCTTTGTATAGTATGTTAGGTCATCTGTAATCTAGAGAAGAATTTTTGATGGGAAGGGGAAGATGATATCTGACTTGGATTTTAGAAAGATAACTTGGTTCACTTTGAAGGAAGTATTGGAGAAGGGAAATTGTGGAGGCGAGACCAATTTGAAGGTTATTTCAGCAGTCTTGGTTAGAGATTTTGAGGACCTGAACTTCTTAGGATAAAATCAGTGAAAATGAAAACAGGATAAATTTGAGAAATGTTGGAAAGGTAGAATCAGAAGTTTTTGGCTATCTAATTTTATATAGCCAAACACAGGAGAACTGCTTTTGGATAGTTTAACATGTCTTAAGACTATTGGGAGTTTTTTAATGAACCTTGATGTATTTTGGTTGTCTGAATATGTTGGTCAAGGATTTTTAATAAATGTTGACTAGATAAGGGAATGTTTATAAATGACTACAAATATCTTTGAAACCTCTATTTTGTTTTTTCCCCCCGAATCCTAATCCTTTCCCTTCCTTCAGAAGTTAATTATCATTTGGAATTTTGTGCTTATCATTACCCTTACAGTTTTATCATATATGTGTAGGTGCACAAACTATATAAATGTAACCATGTTTCTTTTCTTCTTTCTTACTTCGGTATTTTTAGTTGTTTTTAGCAGGTAGGGTTCATCATAATTGAAGAAATGGAAGGCCTGAAAAAATATATTTAATTATAATATATATCTATATGTACATATAAATATTTTGGATAAATAAACTTACAGAATTGTAGTTCTTAAAAATAGTAGCAATTCATAATCTTCATGTAGTTCCTTACTATTTATAATGTATTTTCCTTTTATCTTTATCTTTTTTGTTGTTTTTTGTTTTGTTTTGTTTTTTACTTCATCTTCTCCCCTTTGCGCTATTGGCATTCATTTTACTTCCACATATATTAAGACCCCAACAATACATTATTATTTTTAGTTTGAATAGTCAATTAGCTTTTTAAAGTTTTACTTTTTAAATTATCATACAGTGAAATTGACTTTCTTTGTACAGTTCTATGAACTTTAACACATGCAAAAATTTGTATAGCCTCTGTTACAATCAGAATACAGATCATTTCCATACCCCCAAAAACTCCTGGTACTTCCTATTCCTTTATAAGTCACACCCTTTCCTCATTGCAACTCCTGGTAACCACTGATTTCTTCTTCATCACTATAATTTTGTCTTTTTAAAAAAAAATTTGTCTTTTTTGAGAATGTCCTATGAATGGGATCATAGTTAATATAACCTGTTGTGGCTAGCATTTTTTAGCCTTTGAGGTTCTTCTAACTTGTTGTCTGTATGCATAGTTTGATCCTTTTTATTGCTGAATAGTATACCACTGTATGGATGTACCACAGTTTTATCTGATGATCTTTAAAGGACATTTGGGTTATTTCCAGTTCGGGTGATTATAAAAAGAGCTATTATCAACATTTGTGTACAGGTTTTATGTGAACATAAATTTTCATTGCTCTTGAGTAAACACCCAGAAGTGGAATTGTTTAATCATATGGTAAGTAATATTTAACTTTATAAGAAACTGTAAAACCCTTTTCCAGAGGGGTTATACAATTTTGCATTTCCACCAGCAATGTGTAAGAGTTCTGGTTGCTTACATCCCAACCAGTTTTGGTATTATCAGTACGTTTTATTTTAGCCATACAGATAAGTATGTAATGGTATCTTATGGCCTTAATTTTCATTTCTGTAATGATAAATGATGTTGAACATCTATTCTTTTGTTGTTGAAATAACTGCTCAAGATTTTGCCCATTTTTAATTGACTTGTTTCCTTCCTGAGTTTTGAGAATTCTTTATATATTTTGAATACTAGTCCTTTGTCAGATATGTGATTTGCAAATATTTTTTTCCTAGTCTTTAGCATGTCTTTTTTTCTTAATTAACATATAATGTATTATTTGTTTCAGGGGTACAGGTCTGTGATTCATCAGTCTTACACAATTCACAGTGCTCACCATAGCACATACCCTCCCCATTGTCCATTACCAGCCACCCCATCCCTCCCACCCCCCTCCACTCCAGCAACCCTCAGTTTGTTTCCTGAGATTAAGAGCCTCTTATGGTTTGTCTCCCTCTCTGGTTTCGTCTTGTTTCATTTTTCCCTCCCTTCCCCTACGATCCTCTGTCTTGTTTCTCAAATTCCTCATATCAGTGAGATCATATGATACTTATCTTTCTCTGATTGACTTATTTCGCTTAGCATAATACCCTCTATTTCCATCCACGTTGTTGCAAATGACAAGATTTCATTTTTTTGATGGCTACATAGTATTCCATTGTGTATATATATATATACCACATCTTCTTTATCCATTCATCTGTTGATGGACATCTAGGCTCTTTCCATAGTTTGGCTATTGTGGACATTTTTAGCATGTCTTTTTATTCTAGGTCGAAAACTTTTAAATTTTGATGAAGTCAAATTATCAGTTTTTTTCTTTATAGTTCATGCTTTTGCTTTCATATTTAAAAGCTCTAACCTAAGCTTAAATTACAAGATTTTCTCATGTTTTCTTTTAAATGTTTCATGGTTTTAGGTTTTTTGCTTAGGTCTGTGATCCATTTTTAGTTTATTTTTTTGCCTAGGGCAAATGGTGTTTTAGTACCATTTGTTGAATGACTAGCCTTCCACCATTGGATCTGTCAAAAATTACTTGGTCATCTTTGTGTGTGTTGGTTTGTGGACGTTTTTCTATTCTATTAATCTTGTATGTTTTTCCATTCACCAATATCACAGTCATGAATACTGCAGCTTTATACTAAGGTGTTCTTTGCCTTTACATATAAATTTGTAGAATTAGGTTTTCTTTATCTACAAAAAGTTCTGGAATTTTGATAGACATTGGGTTAAATCCATAAATCAATTTGGGGAAGAATGGACATTTCTTACTGTGTTGAATCTTTTGATCCATGTCTTCATTTATTTAGTTCTTTGACTTCTTTCATTAGCTTTCTATAATTTCCAGCATCATGTACATATTTTATTATATTTATACTAATTTTAATTTTTTATTGTAAGTGAACTGCTTTTTGAATTTTGGTTTCCATTTGTACATTATTGGTATATAGGAATGTGATTGTGTGTGTTGAGAGAGAGGGAGAGAGAACATGCACATCTCTATGCTGACCTGTGACCTTGCTGAACTCATTTATTAGTTCTAGGTTTTCTCCTTTTATTTTTTTAGATTGATACAAGCAGCAATATAGACATAAACATGTCTTCTAGTTTGAAATCCAGCCCCTTTCTATTAAACCAAGTTTCTACACTACTATGTCAAGACATTTAATACTTATCTTAAGTGTATGTCTGGAAATAACTGATTGCTTATTGTCTTCCTTAGTAACCTGAATAGAAAGTAGAAATTACTCTTGTATTCTAACAATTTTAATGATTTGTAGAACTGTGTGATAAACTTTTATTAGATTCTAACAACATTTTATTATAAGAGTATGTATGCACACACAGATGTATAAATAAATAGGATAAAATAGAAAATGTTATAAGAAAAAAGGTCTCAAATTTAGGGAGAAGTATTTTTTTAATTACTTTTTTCCATCAACATCTCCTCTCTTTTTTTTTAAGATTTTATTTGCGAGAGAGAGCAAGAGAGCGTGCACGCACAAGTGGGGTGGGGGGTGGAGGGAGAGGAGAGGCAGAGGGAGAAGCAGACTCCCGGCTGAGTAGGGAGCCTGATAAGGGGCTTGATCCCAGGACCCTGGGATCATGACCTGAGCCGAAGGCAGACCCTTAACTGACCGAGCTACCCAGGCACCCCTCAACATCTCCTCTGTTATCACTGTCTATATGTTCACTTTTTTTTTTCCTTTTCCCACAATCTATCTAAACTAGTCTTTTTTTTTTTTTTTTTTTTAACCTTTTAGTTATTTCAAGTACCATTGGAAGAGGAAGGACAACGTGGTGGGCCTATCCTTGCACCAGAAGAGATTAAGACTATTTTTGGTAGTATCCCTGATATCTTTGATGTGCACACAAAGATAAAGGTAAATTTTATATGTTAGGTTGGTAGTAATTCTTTCTGGATTATGTTTATATAATGCTTTTTTCAGGTACTATTGATTGGCTCAATGAGTTTTGTACCTAAAACTTACTCCCTTATTTATTCCTTTGAATCATTTATGTCCCTTTGCTACAGTGCCTTATTAATATTTGTTGTTTGCCTGTTTTTTATTTTATTTTTTTTTTATTAATCCTGAAAATAAGGAATTAAGCCTTCTCATGTCTTTTCTATAGAGACATGTGGTTGCTAGTGCTAATTTTCTTATTTTCTTACTGTTCCTCTCAGGTTGTATGTTTTGTTTTGCTTTGGATTGTTTGGAAAAACTGAAGCTGAAAGAGACTTAGAGACCATTTTGTTCATTTCTCTATTTCTGGTCAGATAAATACAAAAACGATATAAGACAATGCTATCTTTTTAATGATTTTTCCTTTCATGAAGGGTTTGTGATTTACAGGTATTAGTCTCTCATAGTTAAGTAATTTGGGGGCAGGTTTACCTGAACTCTTAAAAGTTGTTAAGCTTTATTTCCTCTTATTTTTCCTATGAGATGCTTGAGTAAACTGATCAGTTTTCTCCTCAGAACACCTTGTATTAATGTTTAGTCCATATTCCAATAAAAAGATCAATCTGAATTATTGAATGTTTTCAAACAAGTACATTAAGTTACTTTTGATTTTACTGCACATTATAAACAAAAATATAAATAATCTATAAGTTAATAAAAATGCAATTTATCAAACATATTTTGCACTTTATCAAAATCCACAATCATATTTCAGTTATTTCTAGATCTAAAGGGAACTCTGAAGGAATCTTTATTTTCTTAAAAAGCTAATAAAGTTTCAGCCTAGTTTATCCTTGTTTCCAGTTAGGTTTCTGAATACTTGAAAAGTATTCTTGGTATATTTTTTCTTTCATAGGAAACACTGAGAGGCATAAAGGTAGAGTGGGAAGGCAAGTAGGTTTTCAGCTTGATGTTCTACCGCTAATTTGTGAATCAGTTTGAATATGTGTCAGTCATTTAGCTGGTCTGGGTGTGCAAGTACTCTTCTAATATAAAATGCTATACTTGTTATGTGTACAGGATCATAATCTCAATTGAGAAAATCATGTTCTCTGATTTACTGGAGCTTTGGAAGTGATTGTCACTCTTTAGTTTTCTCATGTGTAACATAATTCTTTAAGCTTTTTCTAGAAAGTAGTATTAACAGTAGTTCTACTACTAGTTTTTTTAGCTGATTTCAGGTTTGTCACACATTTAAAAATTTCAGAGCATGTGGGGCTCTGGGGTGGCTCAGTCAGTGAAGCATCCGACTCAGTTTTGGCTCAGGTCATGATCTCGGGGTCATGAGATCGAGTTCCACATTAGGCTCCGTGCTCAGAGCAGAGTCTGCTTGAGATTCTCTGGCTCTCCCTCTGCTCCTCTCTTCCCCTCACTGCTTGCACAATCTCCCTCTCTCTCTAAAAGAAATAAATAAAATCTTTAAAAAAAAAAAAAAGTTTTCAAAGCCTGTGTTCTTTTACCACGAAACCAATACATGTTGTCAAACATTTGTAAAATCAGGAGTAAAGAAGAATAGAAAATACCCATAATTTGGGACGCCTAGGTGGATCAGTCAGTTAAGTGTCTGCCTTTGGCTCAGGTCATGATCCCAGGGTCCTGGGATTGAGTCCTGTATCGGGCTTCTTGCTCAGCGGGGAGCCTGCTTCTCCCTCTGCCTCTGCTGCTGCTCCTGCTTGTGCTCTCTCTGACGAATAAATAAATAAATAAATCTTAAAAAAAAGAAAGAAAAGAAAATACCCATAATCTCATCACCCAAATTAAAAAAATTTTTGTATTTTCTTATTTTTTTATACATAGCAATTTTTTGGTTTTTGGCTTTTTTAAGATTTTTTTTTTTTTTTTAAGATTTTATTCATTTGAGACACAGAGAGAGAGAGCATGAGGAGGGGCAGAGGCAGAGGCAGAGGGAGAAGCAGGCTCCCCGCTTAGCCAGGAGCCAGATGTGGGGCTCGATCCCAGGACCCTGGGATCATGACCTGAGCCGAAGGCAGACGCTTAACCATCTGAGCCACCCGGGCGCCCCAAGATTTTATTTTTAAGTAATCTGTACACCCAATGTGGAGCTCGAACTTAAAACCCCGAGATCAAGAGTTGCACGCTCCATTGACTGAGCCAGCCAGGTGCCCCTCATTGTGGCCTTGATACACATTTCCTTAATGATAAATGATGTTGAGCATCTTTTCACATGCTTATTAGTCATTTTTATATTTGGTAAAATGTGTGTTTAGTTCTGTCACTCATTTTTTGACTGGCTTGTTTGTCATCTTACTGAGTTGCAAGTATTCTCTATAAATGCTAGATACAAGTCCTTTGTTAGCTATGTGTTTTGTACATATTTTCTATCAGGCTATTGTTGGTTGTCTTTTCATTTTTTTAATGGTGTCTTTTGAAATACCGAAGTTTTTAATTTTGATGAAGTCCAGTTTATCCATTTTTTCTTTTATGTACTGTGATTTTGCTTTCATGTCTAAGAAATTTTGCCTAACTTAAGGTTTTAAAGATTATGTTTTCTTCTAAAAGTTGTATTGTTTTAGCTCTATAGTTAGGTCTGTAATCCATTTTGAATTAATTTTTGGGTAAAGTGAGGGTTCATCTTTTTGCATGTGGATATCCAATCTAATTTTAAAAATTATATTAATACATTTAAAACAAAAATAACTCATTATGTGGGTAGCATAAATAACATAATCCTTATGGAGAATAACTAATTTCCAAAGCAGAAATAGTGAGAAGAGTGACACTGTTTTACATTTTTTCTGTCTGGTTTAAGAGAAGACTCTCATATCTGCTTCTGAATTCAGTCTGTTGCAGTATCTCACACATCATGTAGTCTGTGGGAAACTCTACTGTATGATTTGAGAGAGTTAGAGTGGAAAAATCAAATAGAGCTTTAGTATTGTAATGAAAATAGCTTTAATCTCATGAATCCCACTAAAAAGATGTCCTGGGGGGCCTGTCGCTGACACTTGGAGAACTTTTGGTTATAAGAGCTTATTGATTAATTTCTACTTTAAAGTCACTTTTAGAATTTCAGTTAGGGAATGTATCATTTCTTGGCATCTCATTTTATCATCTGATTTGTGTTTTATTATCTTATAATGCTTTTACATGTCTTAATTTTTTATAAATATTTCATATTTTAGGATGATGATAGTAAAGTTTTATAGATCAGGAATATGCAAACTATAGTTGATGGACCAAATCCAGTCAGTTTTGGACTTTCGTAGTTATGCTTGTTTTGGTAAAGAAAGGTTTATTGAAACACAGCCACATTCAGTTGCTTATGAATTGTCTGGCTGCTTCCACAGTACAAGGACTTGTATTTGTACTTGTAACAGAAACCATATGGTCTGCAAGGTTTAAAATATTTACCGTCTGGCCCTTTAAGTAAAATTTGCTGACCTGTTAGAGATTACAGTTTCAAATAGCTGATGTTAAATAAGATGCTTTAGCAGCAAGATCGAAAGTAGTTTTCTGTAATTAATAATGACAATCAGCTTTATAGTTAATAGGAAAAGATGTTGAGCTGTCATATCAATTTGGAAAGTTAGGCTTAGTCTTACTGACTTGATACTCTTTATATTTTCTTAATTATTTTTCAAAGGATATTTTCCTTCTAGTCAAAAAGTTAATTCCTTGTTAAGGAGAAAGAATGTGTTATATTAATTGTTTTGCACATCAAATGAAGATACTTTGTAAGGTGCTTCTTTCAAATATTTCAAAAATATTGAAAGATGTTTAAGGGACTGTCAAGTTCAAGCTTAAATGTTTCATTTTGTGCTCTTTTAGGATGATCTTGAAGACCTTATTGTTAATTGGGATGAGAGCAAAAGCATTGGTGACATCTTTCTTAAATATGTAAGTATTTTATTTCTTTTTTAGGATTTCAGGCTAAAGCATCATCTCATTAAGTACTCGCAGGGAATGACAGTTACTTGTTTAAATGTGAGAGCTTTCAAAACTTTGACATAGTTGTGTTTGTAAAATTATTGGAAGTGTTCTTCTGAAATATATTTGCTATATATAAGTTAACACTTTCTTGAAACCCCAAGGTCATTGTTAGGAACACTAATTGTCATACTGTGCTGTAATCATTTTATATATATCAAGTTATTTGCCTGTCACAGATTGATTTTTTTTTTTTTTAAGATTTTTATTTATTTATTTGACAGAGAGATAGAGAGCACAAGTAGGCAGAGGGAGAGGGAGAAGCAGGCTCTCCACTGTGCAGGGAGCCAGACGCGGGGCTCGATCCCAGGACCCCAGGATCATGACCTGAGCTGAAGGCAGCCGCTTAACTGACTGAGCCACTCAGGCGCCCCCACAGATTGATTCTTTAAAAAAATTTTCTGTAATTGAGTTGATATCATTTTTTTGCTGTCATTGTGTTTCCTCTGCATAAAAGCTTCTAATGAACTTTTTTTTTTTTTTTTTTTTTTACTAGGGTAGGAACCACATAACTTAATTTTATCAAATAAAGTAAATTCATTTTGAAAGAGGTGCTGTGAATAGGGTTTATAAGTGGCTATCAGTCTCTTTGAATATAATTTATAGGTTTCAGTTCCTTGAGTTCTGGCACATACACTTTTCTGAAACCTTCTCCTAACTTCCATCCTTACCATGTAGTCTTACATGTTTTTTTTCTGGTTGGTTGAGAATTCCAAATATGCACATTATTGTCACATACCTTTTTCTCTTCTTTTTTTTGTCACATCTTTTTTTTTTTTTTTTTTTAGTTTCAGAGGTAGAATTTAGTGATTCGTCAGTTGCGTACAACATCCAGTGCTCATTACTTCCAGGGTCCTTTTTTTTTTTTTAAGATTGATTTATTTATTTATTAGAGAGAGAGAGCATGAGAGGTGGGAAGGGCAGAGGGAGAAGCAGACTCCCTGCCGAGCAGGGAGCCCGATGTGGGACTCGATCCCGGGATTCTAGGATCATGAGCTGAGCCGAAGGCAGTCGCTTAACCAACTGAGCCACCCAGGTGCCTTCAGGCATCCTTCTTAATGCCCATTACCCAGTTACCCTATCCTCCCACCCTCTCCCCTCCAGCAACCCTCAGTTTGTTTCCTAGAGTTAAGAGTCTCTTATGGTTTGCCTCCCTCTCTGTTTTCATCTCATTTTATTTTTTCTTCCCTTCCCCTATGTTGATCTGTTTTGTTTCTTAAATTCCACATGTGAGTGAAATCATTTGGTATCTTTCCCTGATTGACTCTTCCACTTAGCATAATACCATATTGTGGTTCCATCCATGTCGTTGCAAATGGCAAGATTTCATTCTTTTTGATAGCTGAGTAATATTTCATTGTATGTATGTGTGTGTACCACATCTTCTTTATACATTCATCCCTCAATGGACATCTGGGCTCTTTCCATATTTTGGCTATTGTGTCACATATCTTTTTGATACCTGTTAGTGTCCTCAGTTAGCCAAGACATTTTCCCTTTTTTTGTTGTTGCGTTTTTGAGTAATATAATTGATCTTTTAAATGGTGGTTTGGATTCATCAATAAATAATAGCATGTTCTTGGGTACTAATTACTATATTCTGAACTTACAGAAGTTTTTAAACTTTGTCATGTTTATGTCAATACGATAAGCATTAGTATACTTTCGATTCTGAGTCTTTGCTTTTCAAGTTTTAGGCTATATGTACCAGTTGATGCATTTTGGTTAGCAATTAACTCATTAATGAGAAATTCATAAAATTTCTATATTTAACTTGAGAAGAAACTTATTTTAAATTTCTCTTTTGCATCCAGTATGTCAGATTTTGACTATTTATTATTTGGCTTTAAATTTCATTATCTAAGGGTAACATGTATAACAAATTAATGTGTTTTTTCTTCTTCTTCCTAGTCAAAAGATTTGGTAAAAACCTACCCTCCCTTTGTAAACTTCTTTGAAATGAGCAAGGAAACAATTGTTAAATGTGAAAAACAGAAACCAAGATTTCATGCTTTTCTGAAGGTAACATGCGTTTCTTTCAAATAAAAAATCTGAGGATAATTTCTGAAGGAGTTCATTTAAATTATGCTTTTAGTAAAAATCTATCCATGTAAGAATACCTTAATGTTTAACCTGTTAACTTTAGCCAGACCTGAGAGTGGCAGTGATATTTGGCTTCAGAAGATTTAGATAGCAGAGGCCATGAGGGAGCTGAGTGAGTGAAAATGTTGTCTGTAGGTACTCATATTTTTTAAAGTTATACATGTTTTAGTTCTCAAACATTTGTCAGTGTGATCTGGTTTTGCCTTTAAGGATTTTTTTTTTTCTTTACCAGTGCTTTATTTTGTTTATTCAATGGTATCAGCATACTTAATACCTCAAAAACTGTTTTTTCTTGTGAATGGTGTAGACTCAAGAGAAATTTAAGATGGAATTTATAGGAGTGTGCAGAGAAACTCACTTTGTGTTTAAGATGCTAATCCTTGAGTGGCCAGGAGGTCATTTCAGGTCCTGGAAGATTATTTAACCACAGTAATCTTCCAGAGAACAACTGCCACCCCATCTCTTCTATTAGTTCTTTTCAGGGCACTAGTGATAAGGTGTACTCTAATAAATGTAAGGCATTTAATCTTTGCAGAAAACCTTTTTTATTGTTAAATTAATTCCTTTCAGATAAACCAAGCTAAACCAGAATGTGGACGGCAAAGCCTTGTTGAACTTCTCATTCGACCGGTACAGAGGTTACCCAGTGTTGCGTTACTTTTAAATGGTACTTGTCTGATCTGTTTTCAGACTACTTTGGATGTTTTTTTATGGAATTGTTTTGCTCTAAAAATTTTGAAATTCTTTTCATTTTCATAGTTTTCTTAGATTTCAGCATTAAAGTTTATGTTTTACATAGAAAATACCTTTATGGATAATCTTAAAATCACAGGTACTACAATAATTAAGTCTCCTAAAATGCTTTATTTGTTATCGTATCAATTACATTGACTGATATTTTAGTTTTTGTTTCTCTACCAAAAGCCTTACATTTATTTCATGGTGTGTCATTAAGTCAAAATCAATTTATATCCATGTAAACAAAATTCACCCACAAAAATCACAAGATGAGAGATGATTCATGTCTCAAGTTATTTAGTCCTTCTCTGAATCTTTATAAAATCTGTATACTTGATCTAATGCTTACTTTCTTTCTTAGATTGTGCAGAACACTCTTGAAGCCTGAATCCATTTATTCTGGAGCTTAAAGAGAGTTAATTTTATTTTTTTACAGTTAATTTTTATGAATAAATTTTGCCTCTAGCAAAAGAAAAGCATATGTATATGCCCTTACATTTAGCTGCCTGAAGTAGTGAATATTTTTAGGACAGGGTCAGTTTTTATATTTTTTAAAATTAAGTATGAAAACTAAATTACAGACAGGAATAAGTCTGTAATAAAGCATTTTGTTCCCCAAACCTTAAGCACATTATTATGGATAGCAGCAGATAAAGAGGCTAATTTTGTGACTGTTTAATCTATTTTTCTCTTTAAAATATTTTGGGTAATGTATGAGTTGTAGTAATTTAAAAAATTGATCATTTTTGTTGTTTTTAAGGTCATCTAATGTAGGTTAAAATAGCTAGTTTATAAGATGATTTCCCCCATCTTTAAAAGCTGTCCTGTTTTTTTTAGATTATAAGGAGACTGCATGAACAAAGCAGTGTGATTTAACTTTATAAAGCTTTTTTTTGGATTATTTACTTCATTATTTTTATTAAGTATATTTAGAAATCCATCAAATAGTTTCTAAGCCTTTCTCTTATGAGATCGGGTGGGCATGGTACTAGGGAACCATCAGATGGAACATGGCATAGGGAGCTTAACCTCTATAGGAGTCAAAGTGTCAGCGTGTCATGAACCTCTAAGTTAAACAAAACCTGCTTTCAAGGTTACCGAATGCTCTCTGTTATTGAGCCATGGGCCCCAACATGAAATACAACATATAATGACTTCTCGCTAATTGAGGATTGTGTGTTTTCATTCAGCACTATGGAGAGAGCCTGAGGAACCTAAGTGTCCCCAAGCTTTACTAAAAGGGAATTGAGATAGCAGTGTAAGAAAATCTGTACATATTCTGAGAATTTAGTCAGTAAAATTGTGGAAACCTTAACAAATGTGTAAGAAGAGAGCTCCTAAGAGAACATGGAAAAACTTTTTTTGAAGTAAAGCTTAGATAATATCTTTAAAAAATTAATCAGCCTATATCAAAATGGACAACATTTTATTTATTTATTTTTAAAGATTTTATTTATTTATTTGAGAGAGAGAGAGAGAGCATGAGCAGGGGGAGAGGCAGAGGGAGAGGGATAAGCAGACAGATCGCCGCTGAGCTCCCTGACGTGGGGCGCTATCCCAGGACCCTGAGATCATGACCAGAACCGAAGTCAGACACTTAACCAACTGAGCCACCCAGGTGCTCCAAGATGGACAGTATTTTGAAGTCAGATAAAAAAAAACTACTATTTTTTTTTTTACTACTGTTTTTCTAATCATGGAAAAAAACCATTTTATCATAACAGATCTTAAGAAGCATACAGCTGAAGAAAATCCTGACAAAAGCACTCTAGAAAAAGCTATTGGATCACTAAAGGAAGTAATGACGTAAGTGTATTATTTCAATTTCTTATTGTTTTCTAGATTAAAATTGAAGTGTAGAACAATTAGAATCATAAATGAAGAAAAAATATCAATAGCATATTTTTATAAAGTGTTATCTAAATTATTTTTCTAATAATGTAGTTACACATTAAAATGAGAGAAGTATTGTAAGAATACATTGATTAATCAAAAACATTTATTTCTTAAGGTATTAAACTATTATGCATAGAAAGTAACATTGATTGAGAAATTTGGTGATGTTATAAATGTACTTCTGGACATGTTCTTCATATACCTCCAGGCATAGCGTGTTCTTGTCTTCATTTAAACTACGCAAATGTAACTCAGAAAGTTGACTGTGGTGAAATAAAAAGAAAAGATTTATAATACTTCTTTCACTTTTACTTTTGACTTTTTGTTTCTTACCTTGAATTTAATGGAGTATAAATTGGTAGGGTTGGTTGGAAATGTATTAAAGTATAAACTCTGTGGAATTGACTTGGGTGATTGATTGTTAAACTTAGGCTAATTACTGTAGGTCTAACTTGGAGATGTAGCTCTAATCAGAAATCATCTTTTTAAAATTTAAATTCAATTAATTAACATATAGTGTATTAGTTTCAGAGGTAGAGTTCAGTGATTCATCAGTCTTATAAAGTATAACACCCAGTGCTCATTACATCACATGCCCTCCTTAATGCCCAGTTACCCCCCACCTCCCTCCCCTCCAGCAACCCTTAGTTTGTTTCCTATGATTAAGAGTCTCTTATGGGGCGCCTGGGTGGCTCAGATGGTTAAGCGTCTGCCTTCGGCTCAGGTCATGATCTCAGGGTCCTGGGATCGAGTCCCGCATCGGGCTCCCTGCTCCTTGGGAGCCTGCTTCTCCCTCTGCCTCTCTCTCTTTCTCTCTCTTTCTCTCTCTGTCTCTCTCTGTCTCTCATGAATAAATAAATAAAATTAAAAAAAAAAAAAAAGAGTCTCTTATGGTTTGCCTCCCTCTCTATTTTCATCTCATTTTAGTTTTTCTCTCCCTTCCCTCCCCTGTGCTCTATTTTGTTTCTTAAATTCCACATATGAGTGAAATCATATGATAATTGTCTTTCTCTGATTGACTTATTTCACTTAGCATAATACCCTCTAATTCCATCCATGTCATTGCAAATGGCAAGATTTCATTTTTTTGATGGCTGAGTAATATTCCATTGTGTGTGTGTGTGTGTGTGTGTGTGTATACCACATCTTTTTAGGGGTCATGAGTTCAAGCCCCACGTTGGGTATAGAGATTATTTAAAAATAAATAAGTAAATAAACTTAAATGATCTTTCTTTTATTTATTTATTTTTATTTTTTACATTTTAATTTTTTTTTTTAAAGATTTTATTTATTTATTTGAGATAGAGCGAGTGAGAGCACAAGCAGGGGGAACAACAAAGGGAGAGGAAGAAGCAGGCTCCCCACCGAGCAGGGAGCCGGATGTGGGGCTCCATCCCAGGATCATGACCTGAGCCAAAGGCAGATGCTTAACCGACTGAGCCAGCCAGGCACCCCAGAAATGATCTTTTTTGATTATTATAATCAGAAATGAAAACTGTTGCTATTGTTTTGCCTCATGGAGGGTGAGGGCACTTTAACTCTTTGGACTTTATGTCATCAACATGTTTAATAGATCTAGTTAAATGATTTCTGAGATTTCCTGAGGTGCTTCTATATGAAACAGAGTTTCTTAAAATACTTAGCTCTAGAGAGAGGGTCCAGCAGTAGAATAATGTTCAAATTAGCGAATAACAGCTTCTGTTTTTGCTTATGTATATTTTATATGTCGATCAGCCAGGCTTCATGCTTTTGCTTTGTTATTTTAGGGCCAGGATAATAGTTTTTTTCAACACTTCATGGTTTAACATACTCTGCACATAATTTACCTTGATCCTTTCAGCAAACTGAAGTAGACAGTCAGCGTTAACTTAATCTTCACAAAAGAGAAAGCTGAAAGGTTATTACTTGCCCAATTTACTTGTTTGGTGTGTAGAGTACTTCACCAGTATTATTTTGATGGTAGCCTATAGTGTTTGTTATTTATATATAATATGTTTTATAAACAAAGATTATAGAGTAACCTAAGTAGGGAATAGTCATTTGACCTGTTATCTCCCCTTAGAATATATCAGTTGGCTGCTTTGGGGATAATGAGCCATACTGATAAGACAGATGATTAAAGATTTCTTTCTTTTTCAACATTATTTAAGCTTTCTGAGAATTTAAGAATCTTTCTAATATATCCTTATCCTAAATGCTGTGCTCATAATAGGTTTTCAGTAAATGTTGAGTTATAGGAGCTGCTATTTTAATGTTGAATTGTGATGCTGACTTATAAACCTAATAGAGTTTGGCCACATCTGAGTTCTTGAGATTTTTGAATATTTAGCTTAGGTTTTAAATGCTTATTATGGTTGATTGAAACAACTATAATTTTTCAGGTAAAGGAAATAAAAGAGATAGTGCTTCAGGTAAAGGAAATAAAAGAGATAGTGCCAATTAACTAGTCCTTGCCATTTAAGCAAACGAAAACTCCCTAAAATTAGATTCTTACAACTTAGTTACACATGCTTAGATTATTTATTGTTTTTAATTTTTATTTATTTTTGAGAGTGAGAGAGAGAGCATGCACAAGTGGGGGGGAAGGGCAGAGGGAAAAGCAGACTCACTGCTAATCAGGGAGCCCGATGCAGACTCGATCCCAGGACCCTGGGATCATGACCTGAGCTGAAGGCAAACGCTTAACCGACTGCGCCACCCAGGCACCCACACATGCTTAGTTTATACAGATTAATTTGTTACAGATCTATGCTCTAGTAGCTTTACTATGTATGTGTTTTTTATTTTTGTTTTTTAAACTATATTATGTTTCAAATGTAGTTTGATTAATTTTGGTATATATACACTCCCATGAAACCATCATTAACTACCATCAAGGTAAGGGACATTTCTGTCACCTCCAAAAGTTTACTCATGCCTTTTGGTAATCCCTTTTCCTGCCTCTCCCAAGTCCTGCTCATGCCAGGGTAACAACTGCTATTGTTTTTGTCAGTATAATTTGCATTTTCTAGGATTTTATCTAAATAGATAGTGACATATATTATTCTTTTGTCAGTCTTCTTTCACTCAGCATGATTATTTTGAGATTAGTCCTCACTGTTGCTCTTATCAGTAGTGCATTGCTTATTGTTGTTTTCCATTGTATGGATGTACCACAACTGATGTATCATTCATGTGTTGGTGAACATTTTGATTGTTTCCCTGTCTCTGACTATTACAAATAAAGCTGGTCTGAACATTTGTGAACAAGTCTTTGTATGAATATATGCTCTCCATTCTCTTGGATAAATACTTAGTGGTAGGAATGGCTAGGTCATGTAGTAGGTGTAAGTATAATTTTTAAAAAATTGCCAAATTGTTTCCAAAATAGTTGTGCTATTTCACATTCCTACGAACAGTATATGGTGAATTTCAGTGGTTCTCTGTCCTTACTAACTCTCGGATGGTTATTTTAATTTGTGAAATTTTAATAGATGTGTATATCTATTGATATCTCATTATAGTTTTGACTTGTTTCCTTTAATGACAAATGATGTTGAGCATTTTTTCATGTGCTAATTGCTGGGGCCAGAAGCTCCACCACAATGTTAAACAGAAGTGGTGAGAGTGAGCATCCTGTTCTTGTCCTGTTACTGATTTTAGGGGGAAAGCATTCAGTTTTTCACTATTGAGTATGATGGTAGCTTTGGGACTTTTATAGATTCCCTTTATTAGATTGAGGAAGTCCTTATTTATTTCTAGTTTGTTGAGTGTTTTTATCATGAAAGGGCTTTGGATTTTGTCAAATGCTTTTTCTCTATTTAAGTGATCATGTAGTATTTGTCCCTTATTCTATTGGTGTGGTGTATTACATTTATTGATTTTTGGTTGTTTACTCAAGCTTGTATTTCCTGGGATAAGATCTTGCTTGGTTATGGTGCACAATCTTTCTTATGTGTTGCTGGATTTGGTTTGCTAGTATTTTGTTGAGGGTTTTGGTGTCTATATTCATAAGGGATATGGTCTACAATTTTCTAGTGATGTCTTCTGGCTTTGGTATCAGGCTAATATTGGTTTTATAGACTACTTTGGAAAGTGTTTCCTTCTCCTGTTTTTTGGAAGAACTTGGGGAGAATTGGTACTAATTCTTTAGGTGTTTGGTAGAATTCATCAGTGAAGTCATTTGGGTTTTAAAAATTACTAATTGAATTTATTGTTAGGGATCTATTAAGACTTTTTATTTCTTCTTGAGTCAGTTTCTATAGTTTGTGTCTTTGTAGGAATTTGTCCATTACATCTAAGCTATCTCATTTGTTGGCATGTAGTTGTCCATAGTGTTCTCATAATCCCTTTTATTTCTGTAAGGTTGGTAGTGATGTCCCATCTTTTATTCCTGATTTTAGTAATTTGTGTCTTCTTTTTTTTTCTTGGCCAGCCTAGCTAAAGGAGTGTCAATATTGTCAATCTTTCCAAAGAGCCAAATAATTTTGTTGAATTTTCTGTTATTTTTTGTATTCTCTCTTTCAGTAATTTCTATTCTATGATTTCTTTCTTTCTGCTTGCTTTAGATTTACTTTTTCTCCCCCTGGTGTCTTAAATCAATAATCTTAAATCAGTAACTCACATGTTTAGGTTATTGATTTGAAATTGTTTTTTATTATATGTGCATTTATAGCTAAAAATTTATAGGTACTGCTTTAGTTGTATACTATAAATTTTGTATGTTGTGTTTTTTTTTTCCCTAAGTATTTTCTAATTTCCTTATGATTTCTTCTTGACCCATTGGTAATTTAGGAGTGTGTTGTTTAATTCCCACATACTTGTGAATTTCCAAAGTTTCCTTTTGTTATTTCTAATTTTACCCCATTGTTGTGGGAGGAGATACTTCGTATTATTTCAATCCTTTCAGAATTTTTGAGGCTTATTTTATGGCCTAACCTGGAAAATGGTCCATATACACTTGAGAAGAATGTGTGTTTTATTGTTGTTGGGTAGAGTATTTCTTTCATTTAACTTTCAGCCTATTTATGTCTTTGAATCTAAAGTGTGTCCTTATAGACAGCATTAAGTTGGGCTTGCCTTATTTGTCTCCTGTCTCAGGAATTGACTTCCCAGTGTCTTGACAACCCTTCTTTCTTTTCTTTTCTTTCCTTTCCTTTCCTTTTTCTTTTTTCTTTTTTCTCTTTTCTCTTTTCTTTTCTTTTTTTTTCTTTTCTCTTTTCTTTCTTTCTTTCTTTCTTTCTTTCTTTCTTTCTTTCTTTCTTTCTTTCTTTCTTTCTTTCTTTCTTCTTTCTTTCTTTCTTTCTTTCTTTCTTTCTTTCTTTCTTTCTTTCTTTCTTCTTTCTTTCTTTCTTTCTTTCTTTCTTTCTTTCTTCTTTCTTTCTTTCATTCTTTCCTTCTTTCTCTTTCTTTCTTTCCTTCTTTCTCTTTCTTTCCTTCCTTCCTTCCTTCTTTCCTTCCTTCCTTCCTTCCTTCCTTCCTTCCTTCCCTCCCTCCCTCCTTCCCTCCCTCCCTCCCTCCCTCCCTCCCCTGTTCTTGGGGGTGGGTACGGGAGTAGGGTTGTGGCTGGGGCACAAGGGGAGAGAGAGAATCCCAAACAGACTCCACACCCAGCACAGAGTGGAGCCAGGCTTGATCTCATGACCCTGAGATCATGACCTAAGGCACAATCAAGAGTTGGACGCTTAACTAACTGAGCCACCCAGGCGCCCCAACCCTGTTTCTTTTTTTTTTTTATAATAAGTTTTTTTTCTTTTTCTTTCTTTTTTGAAGATTTTATTTATTTATTTGACAGAGACACAATGAGAGAGGGAATACAAGCAGAGGGAGTGGGAGAGGGAGAAGCAGGCTTCCCGCTGAGCAGGGAGCCCAATACGGGGCTCGATCCCAGGACCCTGGGATCATGACCTGAGCCGAAGGCAGACACTTAATGACTGAGCCACCCAGGCGCCCCCCAACCCTGTTTCTTTATATCTTGACAGTTTTTTAGTTGTTTCAGGAAGAAGGTGTATCCTTTCCTTCTTCATCTTGTATGGAAGCAGTAGTCTTCGTTTTTGTTTCAATAAAATGATTAGCATATGACTTGGGAATGACCTACATAAAACCTTAAATGAACTTACATTTAGAACTGTTAACCTGAAGTTTGTATCGGTTTACTGTATTTTAGGAAGTATATAGTGAGTATAGTAAAAAAATAATAAGAAAGAAGATAGTAAAACAATTTTCCGAAGGATTCTATGAAATTTTTTTTTAATATAATAGGCTACTTTTAGGAAGTATTTTAACTGATTCAGTTGTCAAAATTAAGATAGACTCACATGGAAGATCTTTTTTTGTGACACGAGATATCTTTGTATGCAGTTTTCATATTTTACTGTTTTAAAAGTTGAAGTTTTAAAACTAAACTTATTAATTTTTCAGCCATATTAATGAAGATAAGAGAAAAACGGAAGCCCAAAAGCAAATTTTTGATGTTGTTTATGAAGTAGATGGATGCCCAGTAAGTATTCATTTTTGATGATTGTCAATTTATTTTCTTTCTTATTATTTAGATTCTATAGTTTTAATATAAACAGAATCTTGGCAGCATCTTCTTTTTCTTTCTTTTTTTTTTTTTTTTTTTAAGATTTATTTATTCTGGAGGGTGGGGAGGGGCAGAGGGAGAGGGAGAGAAAGAATCTCAGACAGACTCCCCACTGAGCACAGAGCCCAACACAGGGCTTGATCCCTGATATAATGACCTGAGCCAAAATCAAGAGCCAGATGCTTAAACAATTGAGCCACCCAGGCACCCCGGCACCATTTTCTTTTAAATGATAACTTTAAAAAGATTACTACCAAGTGATCTCATTTACTAATATTTTCAATCTATCCAGGCTAATCTTTTGTCTTCTCACCGAAGCTTAGTCCAACGAGTTGAAACAGTTTCTCTAGGTGAACACCCCTGTGACAGAGGAGAGCAAGTAACTCTCTTTCTCTTCAATGACTGCCTGGAGGTAAATTTGTACTTAATGTATATAATAACACTGCTGATTTGTGTAACTTGCCTGAATATTTAAAGCCAAGCTTTGACTGAAGTATAATATACAAGTTAAAGTAAACTTAATCACTTTTGAGACCACTTGTTGGTTTAATATTAATAGAATGCTTTTAAGAGAAGGCTTAATACTAAGAAGTATGATAAATTTTCATGACTTAAAATCCAAGTCAAAATGAAAATTTAGTTTATTTTCATGCTAATAAATGCTTAGGTCAAGAATTTTAGGAACTTCCTGTTTCTATGTATGTTTGTTCAAGATCCACAAAATAATCTGAAATTTAAGTAGATTTTTCAAGCAAAGAGGGAGCCAGTATTTTGTTGAAGAGTAGGATAACTTGATTATTTACTACTATGAATTATGATCCCCTGATTTTTGCTTAAAACAGCAGGTTTTAGGGTGAGTGAATGGTTAGTATATCAGATGGGGTACGATTATAATTTAAAATTCTCATCTACTAAATCATTTCCCCCATACTCTGTGGGCAAATTGAATCATCTTTGTGTGCTTTTCCAAATCTTAATAGTGTATTTTTAAACAACAGTCTAAGGGGAGATATAAAGATGTGTATTTTCCTTTATCTCAGAAAAAAAAAAACCCTGTGTATTTTGATAAAACAAATATTAGTCGGAAGACTCTTGACATTTCTGTTATTAGGTAACTTGCTTTTGCTTTCATTGAAGTGATTTGATGGGTTTCCTTTTGCTTTAAAGTCTGTACCTCTTTTATCCTTTTCTTTTTTTTTTTTTTTAAAGATTTTATTTATTTATTTGACAGAGAGAGACACAGTGAGAGAGGGAACACAAGCAGGGGAAGTGAGAGAGGGAGAAGCAGGCTTCCCGCGGAGCAGGGAGCCCGATGCGGGGCTCGATCCCAGGACCCCGGGATCATGACCTGAGCCAAAGGCAGACGCTTAACGACTGAGCCACCCAGGCGCCCTCTTTTATCCTTTTCTACTTCTCTTGAAGTGCTGCCCTCATATATATATTATTATTTAAAGTATAAAATACAAAGGAATTTTAGAGAACCAACCATGTGCAGTTACAGGTGTAATAAAATCTCACCAAAACTTGATTTGTGTTAAATGCAGAGTTTTGTTGTAGTGAGGTTAATAAAAAATGGTCTTTTTATTGGTCAGTAATGTCACAAAAGACAATGAAAATACTACACTAATTGAAGGTACCCTGAACTGAAAAAGTCATAAAAAATCATGAGGCAGATAATTTTGAACTACTTGTCACCCCCAAAAGGAGAATTTCAGCCTGCATTACTTTGGAGAACAGGGGCTAGGTGAAGTCAATTTCCAGTGGGGTTTTACTGTACATAGTTGCTCAGTACTTCCATTTATTTGCTTCTCTTAAAAGCCTTTTTTAGGTTTTTCCTCTTGAAGTGCCCAGGTCAACTGACTCCATTGTCTGTACCTCTTTGCTAATGTATTCTGGATTTTATCCTCATAATCCTGAGAGAGTTGTGGCTTACTTTAAATTTTTGATCATACATCTTCAAATTCCATGAAGTTTTCTATAACTGCCTCATTGACTTACCTGCCTCTTTAATTCCTGTCATTGGTTATTTCCTGTAGCTTCTGAGTCCCATTATGTGATACTCCGATTCCGCATTTCTTTTACTTTCTTAAATCCACTGACTTTTTGTTCTAGTTTATCTTAGCTCCCTATCTTAGAATCATATTAACTGAAACTGCTCTATCGCCAACATTCAGTTTGGACTTCAAGATTTATAATCCTAAACTTTTATTCTTTAGCTTGTTAAAAAAAAAAAAAAAATCCTTAGCAAATTTGGAGTGAAGAATATGGTAAAAGTTAGAAACATTTAAAGTGGATAAAATCTATATTGACTTCTCTTAAATTTGACAGTTGATGTTTTACTGAAGCTAAACTAATTGAGGATTTACAGACATATATTCCTTTTTGTATTTTATCTGTGTTTTGAGTTTTTACCTTGATGTGCTAGCATTTGTGTCATCAGTATTGGTACTTGTTATTGTTTTTCCTTTTTAAAAATGAACTTTAAAATTATTTGCTTAGCCAAATTGATTTAAAAGTATATTTATATTTATAGTGGAAATTATTTAAAGAAAGTCTTTATTGCTTATTTTAACTATATTAATGTAAATTAATTTAATATTTGATATGTAACATAGATCTGTATCATATTTCTGCTTCAGTGTGAATATGATATTGACTGCCTTTTGATCTTTTCTGATTAGCCAACACAGGGTAGTGCATTTTTAGCCATACTGTATCATTCATCATGATGACCAATCTCAATTCATTAAGTAAATTATCCTAAGTCATTTTGTGTTAATGTCTTTCAAGTTGATGATTATGACCTCAAAAAAGACATTCTTTTAAAAAGGCATAATAGTACACTAGGCTTTCATGGAAATGAAAATAATAAATTTAAGAACCTTACAAAATTCACAGAATTATAGTACATTATGAATCATAAGGTCCTTTCTGATTTTGCTCCTGTCTTCCCCAGAGTTACTTTACCTATCTTTTCCTCTTACGGGAGTTCGGGGTTTAAGTAAAGTTACATCTTAACACTGTAGCTTGAGTTTATAATTTGTATCATTTGCATAATGTATTGTTTAGTTAGTTCTTTACCCTGCCTCTTTCTGAATGGCATGTAAATATCACGAGAGCCAGAATCATTTCTGTGTTACTTACTTTTTTGTCCTCAATGCCTTGTACAGGATCTGAGATCATTGTGAATTCTGCTCTTAAACTGAAACCAATTACCTTTTGAACCCAAGACTGAGATCTCAGAGCAACTATTCCCCTTCCTAAGATCAAGGTTTTTTGTTGAAGATTCCTCTGTCCTTCAATGCTATTCCTTGTCAAAGTGCTTCTGAGTTCTTTCACACCTTTGGGACCTTTTCAATAGATCTTGTCCCTTTGCTGTTTTCCTGACTTTTAGGCTCTTTTCATATATACATCAGCATTTCTGCTACACAATTACATGCATGTATGAATTTGTCACATGGTAACTCTGCTTCTTATCACATAGTAATTCTGGAATGACTAATAGTCAAATGAATCACATGTAGATTTATGTGATTAATATCATTTTTAAGCATTTGGTCTTTAATTGTTTTCATTCATATTTTTTTCTGTAATCAGATAGCAAGAAAACGACACAAGGTTATTGGCACTTTTAGGAGTCCTCCTGGCCATACCCGACCCCCAGCTTCTCTTAAGCATATTCATCTAATGCCTCTTTCTCAGATAAAGAAGGTACTGGACATAAGAGAAACAGAAGGTATGCTCACTGGATAAACTTGGCTAAATGAAAATAGTTTACATTCATTGTAAGTTTGATTCACTCCCTTTTTTTTTTTTAAACTGGTAAATTATCTTTTTATTTTTATTTATTTTTAAAGATTTATTTATTTGAGCGAGAGCATGTGTGCACACTTGAGCAGGGGGAGGGGCAAAGGGAGAGGGAGAGAGACAATCTCAAGCAGACTCCCCACTGAGCATGGAGCCTGACACGGGGCTTGATCTCACAACTCTGAGATCATGACCTTAGCTGAAATCAAGAGTTGGACGCTTAACCAACTGAGCCACCCAGGTACCCCTAAACTGGTAAATTATCTTTAAATACAGTTGGTTAGTTTGGTAAAGTAATTTTTCTTATATTTCTATCCCAACTCTTCTCTAGGAACCTACTTGATATCTTATTTTTCTCAATGAAAATACTATCTCAACTTGTGGGATATCTTCATCCCTTAAGGGACAAAGAGCTTTTAAATGGTTATATGTCAAGATAGTGCAGTAACCTAGCCTCTTACCCTTACAAAACTTACTTTTATTCCTTCAGAATCCAAAAGAAATCAGTCTGTTACCTGTGCTCTGCATCTTATTCCTTCCCTGTTGGCAATGGCTGGATTGCTAGGAATATGTTTAGGATATGACCAGGAAAGAAGTACATGAATAAATGTACCTAAAGTAACTATGGTAAAATTATCATGGGACAAATGTTTATTAAGGAGAGTTTACTCAACCTTGATAGTGTTACGGAGGGTTCTCTGAAGGCCTGCAATTACCAAAAGTTTATACCTACCAAAACCAGTATCATCTGTTAATTGGCATGTGTGTGCATGGCCATATTTTAGATGTTAGACATAATGTTTTTACAGTGTAAGCTGGTTCCATTACTGATCCTACCGTCTAATGATGGAAGACTTTGAGTTCATGAGAAACAAAGAAAACTTGAACAGCAGCTTTTATTGCTGTCTTTATTTGGTTGTCAGATTCTGGATTTATTAAGGCTTACAATAGTGCATATATTTAAATCATCTCCATATTTTTGGATTGGAATTATAGATTATAATTACTGTTTAAAATAGGTTCTGTTTTAGCAGTTTGGTCCAAAAACATTTTGTAACAGTTTTGATATTTGGATATTTTATTTCTTTGCACTTGATTTAAGTTATCAAACTAATCTTATAATATTTTAATTTAAAACTTAAATTCTGGAATTCTAAGAAATGATATAATCTAATTCAAAAAAACTGTCTCATAGAAAATATTAGATTTCATAGAAAATACTACTTAATGTCAGTAAATTATCTTTGTTGGTTTCTCACATGGTACTTACTATTATAATTCTTTCCAGTGTTTCAATGTAATACGTGATGTTCTTTGTTCAGTTAAAAATAGAGGGATGGGAAGGATGGAGAAGAGATAATTTTATTGGAATTTTGTTGCTCTGAGGAAACTAAACTTGAGTAAATCTATCATTTTCCAAGGAGTAACACTTAATGTTTATACTTATTCTGGAACCCTAGATTGCCATAATGCTTTTGCCTTGCTTGTGAGGCCACCAACAGAGCGGGCAAATGTGCTGCTCAGTTTCCAGATGACATCAGAGGAACTTCCAAAAGAAAACTGGCTGAAGATGCTATGTCGACATGTAGCCAATACCATTTGTAAAGCAGACGCTGTAAGTTCTTAAACGACTATTATAATGAAAGTTTTAACTTCATTGCAGTGCGTTCAGACTAACCCTATATATTTCTAATGACTTGGTAATTATGAATGTAGGAGAGTTTTACTTTTATGTGAATTGAGGAAAACTGGTTTAAAAAATTGTTTTGAAAAGATTTTTTAAAGTATAGGCCCACAAGACATTTTGAGTCCCTAGCTTACAGATAGGTCCTCAAAGCCTAATAGCTCCTGTGCCTTTCTGACTGAGTGAGGCTTTTGGGACTTGTTCTAGTACCCCGTGATTTTTATTGGTGCTCTTTGACCTGGCTATTTGTAAAATAGAGGGAATCTTGTTCTATTGTTCTTTTATCTTGTTGAAAGCAATAGGTGAGTTGTAGCAAGTTGTTTTTTCTGTCAGGCCTGTTGCCAATCCAGTTTTTTCAGCCCAACCTCTGAAAATCAAATACCATTATGAATATATAATTATCTTATACAGCTTAAAGTGCAGATACATGAGAAAGTCAAATTACTGAAGTTAAATGACTCACAGAAATCAGATAGCCTGTAGTAGATCTTGGATGAAATCTAGGTCCCTTAAGAAATAATTTGATTTCTTCATTATATATGGGAGAGACATGTGATAGACAGGTATAGACCCTTTCATCTTTATACAAATGACATAGAGGAGAATGTATTGATAAACGACCCTTTTCAGTACAGTAGTATAATGGAGATTGCCTTGGACATTCCTGTTGGACTAAAATGTTTATTTATCATAGTTAAGTTCTGACCTTGAAGGCTATTAAGGTATAATTATAACGGTTTATAGAGTAGGTAATATTTGATTAAAACCTCCTACCTAAATGTTGAGAACAATTAACAGACCCTCCCCCTTTTTTTAAATAAGCAGGAGATTTCAATTTCTTTTTTTCAGTAAATGACATGACAGGGAAAACCAAAGAATAAAATCCTGAGATTGACTAATTTGTCCTAATTGTCATTAATAGAACATTTCATCCAGCATGATTTGTTTTTGTTTTTTTAATTTCTGTGGGCCAACAATATGTTGTTATAAATAAAGGATTGTTCCACAAATAGGTTCACAGAAGGCTAGTGCATACAACACTGCTGGCTAGAAAAATGATGAAGACAGCTTTTGTTATAAAGCTTACAAAAGTGTTCATTGTTAGGAGGAATTTTTTTTCCACAGGTCTAAGTATGCATATATAAAATGGATCCTTGTAGTATAGTGACTGCCTGTTGTAGAAATTACTCCTACATTTATGTCAGACTACATGGCTTATGAAGTCCTTTACAAATTTATAACCATAATACTGAAGTGCTGTTCATGGAAAATTTTCCTTAAAATACAATCTATTGAATTACTAGCCACAGGATGGCTAATAATTCTAGAACTAAAATATAAACAGCTAATGGAAAAATTTCATATGTTAGCCACAAGATGGCAGCAAACATTTAACTATGTCCTGATTTATACTTAAACCACAAAATTCTTTGAAGTTGTGAAATTTTGTTACTAAGAAATATTTTGTAAATTGAGATATTCTCACTGACTTCAGTTGAGCTCTTTCCCACATTTAAAATACTACACATAGTAAATTTTAAAAAGCCCTGAGTTGATGTCTTACCATTTGATAACATTTGCCTTGATAACAAGAAGAATATTTCTAAATACACACACACACACACACAATGTAACAAATAAAAATTTCTTGATTCTTTCAATCAGTAGTTTTTGTCCTTCTGTTACACATTTTGGGTTCCCTAAACAACTGGAGCTTACAACTGTTTTATTCTATACTGTTTCATTCTTCATGCCCATTTATAAATGACTTAATAATTTTTAAGCTGAAATAAAACCTAATCTAATCTCATTATTTTACATGTGAAATTAAGGCCAAGAACATAAAGCTTACATTAGAATCCAGGTATTCTGATTGCTGGTTAAACCCTTTTGTATATCTTTTCTCCCCATGGATACGGTGTCCCATATTCTGTTAATTTCGAATTTAAAGATTAGAGTTTTAATCTGTTGAGAGCTTTATCTCTCAGAATACTTAGGTTTATATTTTTGGTCTCTTGCCAGTATGTAACCTTTAAATGTATGGTCCATACTCTTAAAGTTCATATATTGTCTAAGGTCAGATAGTAACTTTCTGATGCCATTGCAGATTTCTAATCTCAAATATCAAAAGTATAATTTATTAACAAGTGGATTTAAGCAATGTTATTCTTTCACTCCCCCCACTTTGAATAGTTTAGAGGAAGTAACTTGATAATTAAATGCCCAGTGCTACAGTTCAGGTCTTTTACTACTAATTCTTCATATTTCTTTTAAAAATCAAGTTTTTACACCTTAGTCAAATCACTATTGGCTATTTTAGAGTAGCCATATTCATTCTTAGAGATTCTAGTTACAAGTTTAAAAACTAACTACATGAAGAATAGACTGAAAGTAGAACATATATGAGAAGAGTTAGTGCTTCTGAGCTGAAGATATTTATAATGGAGTTAATATGATTTGTACTTAATTATTTTGCTGGTTATTAGTCATCCATAATAAGTTGTTAATATAAATATCTGTTATTGGTACTACTTTAATTTGGCCAAAGCAGAAGCTCTGAGCTATAAATATGATTATAGAGTTTGAGGAAATCACTGAGGCGTAAGCTAAGGGTGGGGGGCACCATGATACTAGTTATTTTTTCTTTAGCATCTGCATTTGAGGACTAGTGGGAGAGGAGAGCTTAGGGAAAAAAGGGTCTGATAACTCACATGTGGGTAGGCTCATTAGCTTAAGATGTCAGAAACGCTAGAAGATTTCTTTTGAATTAACACCCATGAATAAATCTGTAGCTGAGATTCAGTTTCTCCTGAAATTAATATTATGTATCGCAGTGGGAGAAATCGATTATTACTACTTTCTAATCTTAAACCCTGCAGCTCTGTCTTTAGAACTAGTCTTAGGTACATGTGGATTTGGGGCTTATTGAAGAACTCCTTCCCTTTCTAGTCTTTAATCCTTGAGATATGTTGACTAAATCATGAAATGTTTTTAGAATTATATTAGTATGTTATTAAAAATGAGTTTTCTGATATATATTTTATTTTTATTTTATTTTGGAAATATAGAGGAATAAAATAAGGTTTTTTTTGGAGGGACTTGCTTTTACTGGTACTTATTTTTTAAAAAGTCTGGTAGGGGCGCCTGGGTGGCTCAGTTGGTTAAGCGACTGCCTTCGGCTCAGGTCATGATCCTGAAGTCCCAGGATCGAGTTCCGCATCGGGCTCCCTGCTCGGCAGGGAGTCTGCTTCTCCCTCTGACCCTCCTCCCTCTCATGCTCTCTGTCTCTCATTCTCTCTCTCAAATAAATAAATAAACTCTTTAAAAATAAAAAAAATAAAAAAAATAAAAAAATAAAAAGTCTGGTATATGGTAATGCAGTATTTTATTCTATTAATAACTAATATTTGAGAACATTTATAATATTAATAGAACTTAATCTAAGTTCACTTTTTTTTACATTTCAGTATTGGATATTATAAAAGATAGTAAAAATAATTATGATCAAAATTATTTCATCAAAAACTTTAAATGCTTGGTGTTAGTCTTCATACAATTTACCTTTTGACATAAAGTTCTTTGGCTGCAAAAAAGAACATTTGGTTTACTTCACTAATAGGAATATCTCTTAAGGTTGGGCTGGCATCTTCTTGGTATTTCTTCTGCTGTTGATTTTTAGCATAGTTGTCTATGATTGTATAAATGGAGTTGAGTGGAGAGGTACTCATCAGGTTTATTCCAAATAAGAGTGCATAACCGATTACTGTAGTAATGAGGAGGTAGACAGGCAGTGCAACTGCCCAGTATTTTTGAGGCCAATAGGTTAAGCCTAAGGAGTTTAGCCAAGATTCAGGAATAAAAGCCCACACAAGAGATAGTATGAAGCCGAATTGAGAGCTTAAGAAAAGAACAAAGCCATAAATTGCTCTTTCTGGCAATGGTGATGGTGAATATCCCACCATTTCCCTGTGGCTTTAGACAGTCTCAGCGTCCAGTCCCCTGCGGAAGTGCCTGTCAAGGAAGCCTCAGCGGGGGCGAGAGAGGAAAACCTTGGGGAAAGACCAGGTCACGCCAGGACCCCCAGAGTAAGGTTTTTCAATATTTGGAAGAGAGAATGGGAGCTGTTAATAAGACAAAAAGACTAGTAGAAAAAACCTTGGAATAATGAAGAGAAGTTTCTCTTACTTTACATTTTTGTCTCTGATTTGCCCTATTTACCTTCCTCTGTGTAGAGAGAACTAAAGGAAGTACTTCATCTTTACATCTTAGCAAACAGCTATATTGTCTTCTCAGCCACTAGAACCACCTAGTTGCTTACTTTTTCAGTCATTCTGCACCCAGAGCTTCTAGAAATGTAAAAGACCTCATATATATCTACCGTAACCAAATTAGAAGTAATTTATTTGTTCATTGAGAGAAAACAGGAAGCCATCTGCTCTCTTTTCAGCTCATAGGTTGTTATTATATGCTTAATAATAGTTAAGATAGCAATAGAAAAGTATCTCTTTTATTAGCAACTGCTTAGGGATTTAATTTTATATTCATATTATGAGTTTTACTCTCTAAATAGAAAAATAATATTTGCACATAAGAAAAAATCAAATAGAGAAAAGTATACTCCGGTAATATGCACCTGTCCCACTAGTCTTTTTTTTAGCAGTGCAACTTTTGATACTTTATCTTTCCAGAAAAAAAGAGTGTAGACACATGGATTTCTGGTTAGATGTATTCCTACGTAATTTTCTCTCTGTAATTCCATTTATAAATGAGATATTTTAGCTAAGTTGTTTTCTAATTGTTTTGTATGTAGGTTAATCTTTGATATGTATGTTAGTTTTGTAACCAGTCACTTTTGTTAATTCTCTTATAGCTTCTAATTGTGTCCTGCCTAATTCTATTGGATCTTTCAGTGTTTAATTTTTTTTTAAGAT